CCAAACTCTGCCTATGTACCTCGATCTCGTAGCTACATGACGAAGAAGATATGCCTATGACAGCGTCCGACGTTAGCAGTAATTCGTTTTGGACTAATGAAGTCGTACTTAGTCAGAGTCTCTTGTGTTCTCCAGAGCCAGAGCCAGTGCTGTCTTCAGTGGATTATAATAATGCTCATATCAGAGCGATCGGTCGAGCTAGAGTCGGCTCTAGTAGGGATGACCGAGTGATATCTCGACGTCGTCAGCGCGTCGAGTAGTAAGCGCCGCGATATGTAGGGATGACGCGAGTGAAATCTCACGTGATCCGCATACCAAAACGCCTCGAAACTCGGCGAAAATGGCTCTAGCTGTGCACGATCAAGTGAAAGAACGACCACACCTCGAGTTTGTATGCGCGCGATCTGATGAGTGAGGACCCAAGAGAAAAGGAAGGAACCGTTAATGATCGCACAGTGACAGAGAAGTGAGATCGCGGCAGGAGCGGTGTACTTTGACACGGTGACTTCCGCTCCGTATTTTCGACGACCAGGCCGCACTGCTGCTCAGATATGACTGTCGGACGTTTGCGATCGCAGCAACGTAGCTTACCACTACCCTGGCATTAACGAAAGCCGTACATTCATGATGATTACGGTGTGGGCTGTCGATCTGTGATCCGAAGTATTATCACTCTGCCCTATGAGAGCAGAAAGACAAAAGAAGCAGAAAAAGTGTAGCAAAATGACCTATGCTGGAGGAACACGCGAATATCTATTCATTCGTAGTCGTAACAGATGGAAGAGTTGACTGAACATAGACAAGTGGCTGAAATATATATTCCGTATTCATCATAGAGCACTTCATATACAGTGTGATTTTCCACAGATCTTGACCACTGTTCAGAATGATGTGCATACGTTGCTGACGATCGACAAACGTCCGACCAGTCAGTATCTGATGCAGTGAGCTGCGTCGTCGAAAAAACGAGCGGAAGTCACCGAGGGTCAAAGTTACACCGTATTGCACTGCGACCCACCTCAACAAGTACGCCCACTCAGGTCGCGCGCATAAAATCGACGGGTTGTCGTCGTTCCACTTGATCCGCTATAGGGATGCCTTCAAAACACAGACCACAGATAATCACTCACGGGTCCATATCTACCTATCTACATATGCCCACAAAGTTTCATACGCACTGCAATTCTGGACACGAGATATCCGCTCATACGCGATTCTGATTTCGGTTGTCATCAGATTCTTACATCTTCTTCTTCTTTAAACCGCTATCTCGGCTTCTAGATACCAGCTGAGCGCTGATTTTTTCACTGTGAACGTCGCAATTTCGCCGGAGGTGTGCACGCACATCAAGCGATCATTTCGTTTTGCCGCAAGGCACTACGGTAGATCATGGAGCTCTTCCATGTCGACACTGAACAACGCCCATATTTGCTGCTAACGTCAGCATCAGTGAGACGGCCGTGCGCATGCATGCGCCAGACAGGGGCGCGCGAGCGTATATGAGCGGACCACCACTGGTCCCCCGTCAGTGCGGCCGCTGGTTTTTCACTCGCCTGGGTTTGCTCCCGAAATTTCGGCCTAGCTATCCGTCTTTGGTAAGGAGCTAGCTGCAATCCAGCTCATTGCCAATTTCTTTCGAGAGTTCCACGGGACGGCCACAACCTGACGTTGTCACCTTCACGTGACACTCCGTGTCGTCTGTCGCGCACTGCTGATATTGTGCTGAGTCGCACGGTCAAAAGTAGTCTTGCTATTGCAATTATCATCACGTATAATTTACTCCAAGGTCTGTACTCTACTGCAGCTTGGGTTTGTGGCCACAGTTAATTATGTTTCAATGTACCCCTGCAAGTTGTCTGCATTCCCTCATTGCCTATTCATATAATAGGGGTGCCTGACGACTCTCTTCCAGTTCAACCTTCTGCACCCCCTCGGTCTCTAGCCAGCACTTCTCTGCTGACAGTCGTGGCTGATAACAAGAACCTCACCCTGTTCTTTCAGTCGCAAGGACCTCCTACTGCCGCTTCTACCACTGCTCTGCTGGCGAACCACTGCACCTGGGACGTTCTCCATCCTTGAGATAAGTTCAAGTTTATTTGCGTATCACTCGAATAAAGACGGGAGGGCAGTAGATATTATGTGCATAATCTGAGCATATAAAGGCTAGAGGTAGATCCTCTTGTCGGTCTCAGACCCTGGTAAGGTAAATGGCAGTGGTCTAGGGCCACCTATCATGGTGACCTGGGCCAAGGACAAGGCAGGCGGTGAGAGCCCATTGTTAAGAAAAATATTGCTGCACTCTACGAGGTAATGCAGATGCAGTCGTGAGGAAGGACATACCAGCCATATTGTAACCGTAGCTTTGCTGATTTACGTCAAAGGCACAAGCTAGAGTATATTTACCCAGAGTCCAAGCAGCCAGCAACTGTCATATACACAGTGCAGGATGTGTGTGGATTGCCCTTCATATGAGTATCACTGCTGGGTAGCCACAGTTTACACCAACGATCTAATGAGCAAACACTGGCCAGTGACCTTTGTCTTGGTAAGCTGTTGAGTGGCTGTGGCTACATCCACAGAAGCTGGCAGCAAGGAAAAGTGGAGCCAGAGTAAGCGGGAAGATGCGCCGCAAGCCAGCAGAAAAAAGGTGAGAGCTGGAGCGAGAGGGCTGTTGACTGGAAGTGCTGTCCTTCTGTGCTGTTGAACACGCTGTTCAAAAGAGGTCAGCGTAGCTGCACCATACGCTGAGCTGTAGCGTACGAACTGGGGCTATGACGAACAGAGACTCCAAGAACGTCACATGTCCAGGTCTGCGCGGGACAGTCTTGTCGTCTCGCTTTTCGTCGCAGCTGACAGCAGCCCGCTACACAATTGCACGCTACACCGCTAGCAAAGTTGTAATCGCTCGAACAAACGGGCACAGGCAGCATGGGTTACACGCTAAGCTTGCTCTCGGCCTCCGTTCCCTCCTGCTCTCGCTCCACCGATTTCTCGCACAAGCCAGGTAAAATGATATCTGCTTGCTAGAGCAATAGTACGGATTGCTAGGCTACAAAGTGGTAATGCGCCGGTTACCTTCAGCTGTTTACTCTACCGATGGTGCTGAGAGTAAACAGCTTGGGGATATGCCTAGCTACAGCTTCAGAACAGGCGTAACCTATACTTATAAGATATAAGATTATCTGGGAGTTGCTGGCAGGTGCGACTCTGGAAGTGTTGTCTACCCCTTATCACACACTGCTGGACTTGTGGACTATACATTCCTGCACCCTATATATATACCACTTCTGACCTCTAGCCTTCGTATGCACAGCTACCAATTCCTAGTGTAAGCGCTACTCATACATGGCTGTCTACTCACTCTGTATTATGCTTTGTGTTCACTTGATGGTGCATACTATCTATATATGTCTGTCTATATAGGGGTTGGACTGCAACGGCACTCTCAATGCTCGACCGCTAGATACCACTGCAAACTTCTGGCTCCTACTGGCATCTTGCTACTAGCATTACCCCGGATATTGCATCGTCCACGTTCACTTCAGCTGGGAATAGACCTCTCTAAAGAAAAAAAACTTCTCACAATTCAACAAAGCATATTGTACAATGAATGTTGGGTCTAGTGTATACATTTGAGCGCAATGCGCCCACTAGTCTCTCATGCACGAATCATGCAAAATTGCAAACCAACGGTACGGACATCGCCCTGCCCACACAATGCACTGCGAGTGTGTGTGAGACTCAAATCGCCATACAAATCTGCACAAATCTGCAGTGCATTAAAATCTCCACGTGACACACGGTCGTGAACCTGCTGCCTCCTCACGCTCGCGCTCTGTTGCCGCTTAAAGGGTAGGGGCTCAGTGTAGCTAAAAAATAAGTGGAACAAGTGAAAAATTCATTGTCTCTCAAAATGCAGGGGGATGCTAGGGATGGCGTGTATGCATGAAAAGGATGCCAAACAAGAGTGCTTCAGCCGATCAGCTATAAGGATTGTCTATACACTCATCCCTACATCTTTCTTTAACGCACAACCTCAACTGTGTTTCTATAATATCTATAACTAGCTACTCCCGCAATAACAAGTGCCTAGCTACACCTCTTTAGACAGAGCAAACGAAAGAAGAGATGTAGGATGGATGTATGATTTTGTTCTCGACTAGGACGAAGCATCTCTGTAGGCATTCTTTTCATAATACACGCCATCCTACATCCCCTTCCAGTTTTGAAAGAAGAAGAGATGAGTTTTTCCTTGTCCAAATACTGCGCATGCGTGTATATGCGACGCTGTGATTGGATCGGCGAAGCTCGACGCGCAGCGAACGAACGAGCCCATGGCGAGAGTGTTAGTGATAGTGTACTGCTTCCTCCTTGCAGGTGAGTAGCGTGATGCCTCTAGCATATTGGCGTAGAAAAGCATGCGCAAAGTTGTGCTATAACTAACCGTTTGGCCACAGTTAGCTGCAGCTCCGGACAGCAGGACTGCTCCGAGACCCGCACGATAACGAGGCCTCAGTTCTTCACTGTCCCGCCAGGCACTGTCTGCTTCCAGTGCGACTTTGGCAGTGGAGTGGCCGCAGATTCCGTCTTCCAGTTGGACAACTCGGCAGTGGGGGAGGAAGCTGGGACGGTGCAGAACGGAGTCCTCGCTATCTTTTCTGCGGAAAACGTATTCCAAACTACAATTCCTACATCTTTGTCTTGCATCAGTGGAAACACAAGACTAACTGCATACATTTTCTTGGAAAGTAAGTAGTTTGCTCACGTCAATGAGCCTTGTTTTTCTACATGATAATTATTATTGTACCAAAGGCCTTGCACCTCCGCAAGTGCCTAGTGCAGTGTCAGTGAGAGAGGGCGAGACGTTGACATTAGCGTGTGATGTCACCAATTCCAACCCACTCCCTACCGTTAGCTGGATAACGGCGGAGGAAGATGTGATAAGTGGGAACACTGTGGAGATAAACGACATACAGAGGAGCCAAGCCGGAGACTACATCTGCGTTGCCACTGCAGAAGATGGCAGTACTCAGAGCTCCACTACAGTAGTCACTGTGACATGTTAGTTGATAGAGGTTAACACACACACTTCAGTGCTGCATGAGCAAGTTGGTTAGCTCACCTGTATTGTTACAATCTTGTAGTAGTGCAGTCCATTGTAAGTGGTGCAGCATAAGGAGGTGAGACTTAGCTAAGGAATACGAGTTTACATTGGCTTAGACCTTGACCAGGAGTTGCCTATGTACCGAGACGCTGATAAATAAACATCTTGTCTATTTTACCTAACATGCTTTTGCTGCAGTTGCTCCAGAGATAAACAGCAGACGAGAGGGCTTGGTGAATTTCCCTGAACGGCACGCTACAACCTACCTGTTCGTTTCAGAGTGTCCCAGCACCAGATTCTGCCAAGTGGACCACAAATGGCACCCAGCTACCCTCTACTCTAGTCACACTGACAGCTAGACTACCACACTGACCCGCACCAACCTACAGGAAAATGGTGGCTGGGGCCTATGTCTGTAGTGCCAGCGAATGAAGTTGGCTCTGACACTGCCACCACCTTCGTCAGAATGTACAAATGTAAGCTGCAAACGTTCTCAAATGTGTTGCAGTAAAAAACTGTGCTCCCGAGTACCTCTGATCCGTTACAACTTGAAGTGTAGCAGAGGCCCACAGCTAGTCTTGACTCTGCTCATGACATCACAGACACTGCCCACATCTTCTCTGTATAGAACTGTGTCACCTATGAAGCTGTCGAAGAAGAACAGAAAACAACCTTTACACCCTTGATGCAGGAAGAGGCCCTCTATCAACAGCGGCAAGAGGTGGAGACTGCCAGTGAAGCAACACCCCAAAAAGAAGAGGAAGAGGTGGAGGAGGAGGGAGTTGCAATGCCTGATAACGACGCGGCCATGTATGAGGCGATGGTCCTGGAGGCTGGTGTAGATGATGACTATGAGGAGCTGACGACACCTGCCTACGGCGTCCCTCGGAGGGCCATATGCGAGGCTCCTGCCTACAATAACGTGGGAGGAAACAGCAATATTGGATGCGAGGGTCTTGCCTACAATGGGAGGCCTACTGTTTTGTACTCTCCATTGTCTACAAGTCGTCTTGTTTGATGCGTGTAGCTATACTATTGTACTCTGTATAACTGTACAGTACAGTGGCTTTGAGGATATTGGGAAGTTTGATGTCTTGCTAGACCCCATAACTCACCCGTTAATGATTAAGGCAGTCGCGCATGCGCATAACCGGAGCGCAATCGACACGACGCGGGCCGGGCGCGTCGAAATCTGATCTGCGCATTCCCTGCGATTCCGAGGCTTTGGTGTGTAGCAGTTTATTTTTTTGACATGATCACGTTGCCCGTCGTGTATCTCTTGGCCCTTCAACTTTTGTTTGGGTGGACCGCCGGTGGACAAGTAATCCCTGGTAAGTGTCATCACGTTCAATTAGAGGCGGGCTGCGGTGTTAGTTACGCATTACCAATGCAGGAGAGCCCCCAGCCTTCCCCTCCACTGATGATCCTCGAGACCAGTTTGTGTTTGAGAGAGATGCTGACAATATGCCAGTCTCTCTAGTCTTCACCTGTCCGGTGACTGGCACCGGTCCTCCTACAATAAACTGGTAAGACACTACAGTCAGGCAAATGTGAAGAAGTGAATTGGTATTTAGCTTGGGATATATCTCGTCTGTGTCTCTATCTAGGTTTCGCAGAGTTCCTGGTGGCGACTTCATGATGGACAATGAGTTCATACAGGAGGATGGGTCCTACATATTCCCCAACATCACTGCAGCTGACTCAGCCTATGCCAGTGGGGACGGTATAGAGTACTACTGCACAGCCACCAATAACTTTGGGACAATCCGCAGCAGAACTGTCAGGGCCTTCTATGCTGGTGAGAGACCGGGAAACTGGGTGGGGGGCCATCTCAGGGTCTTGGAATGTCCCCATCACTGCCAAAGTCCCTTCAATTTTGCCTTTGATTGGCAGAGTGGACCATGTGTTCTGGTGTCCTCTGCTGGATATTTTAGTTTGGTTTTTGTTGGCCTATGTGTAATGTACTTTGTGTTTCCCCTCTGCAGATTTTAAGGGATTTGCTATCAATGGGACGAAGGTTCCTGAAGGCACTGACCCTGTTGAACGTGAGGTGGATGTCATAGTAGCAGATGTAGCTACAAACCTGCAGTGGGTATCTCTGGAGTGTGAGGTTGTGCCTTTCTCCACCCCAACTCCTGAAATCCAGTGGATCAGGACTGACACTGATGGAGGGAATCTAGAAGTTCTGACTGAGGATTTTGATCAGAATACAGTTCGTTTCCTTGACGGAGGCCAGTGGCTGATCCTGGAGACAACTCAGGCTGCTGTCACTGGGAAGGTGTACTACTGTCAGGTGACCAACAAGCAGAGGTTCCAGACCGTGAGAGGCCCCATCACCTACACCCTCAATCCCGGTGAGCCCCTCTCATCACTGTGTGGTAACGAGGTCTCATTTCACCCACCATCTCCAGTGACCAGTTTCTCTGATGAGCCTGATGGTATAAAGATCTACAAACCACTCATCAGCAGACTGTTCCACGACTAGTAAACCCTGATGATAATGATGGAGTGGCATTTGGTGTAGGAATTGCCTATGATGGAGGCACACTAGGTGCTTTCACACAGCTGTGGAGAGTGAATGAAGAGCTGGTGTGTTAGAGAGTATAAGCAGAGGACCTTATACCTCCATCCTACCGCAGCTTATTGATCAGCGACATGGCCCAGACTCGATATTATTACTTGTTATTATCCTGTGTTGAGAGAGGACTGACGTATTCTGTCAGCTACTCTCACCTTGCTAGGTTAGCACTCTCACACAAGCAAGAGTCTTCACAATAACTTACCTGCATTGTGTCATTCTGTGTTTACACAGCCAGATGAACCGTAGCCTATTCTTGTGTTATATAGCTGCACTGCGATGCAGAGCAATTTGTTGTGATAACTCTCTCATCTACCCACAGACCCAGCAGTCATAGTGGACCCTAAACCAGAGAATGAGCAAGACAGACTCTCTGGAGACATACAGTCATTCACACTGCATGTCGGAGGGTCTGATCCAATCATCAATTCTACCACAATGGAAACGAGCTGACTGCGACATGGATGGTGTTGTATCCAATCAGGCGGTACTCTGACTATCGAATCTACCAATCCGGGCACTCGGGGATGTACCAGTGTATAGTTGAGAACAACAGTGGCTCAGATGGCTTCAGTTGGTACCTCATAGTCCGTGATGCTAGTGAGTGGTCTACAATGTATATACCTGACTGGTTACTGAGTCTAGTGCAAACGCCTTTGGGTTTCAACAACTTTTCAGGGCTACTACATTATGTGTTTTCTCTCCCCCACAGTTGCTCCTAAGATTGTCACGAGTTTAACGTTGCCCCTGACCCGTTGTTGGTTCTCCTTCATCCAGGCGAGCGTGCTCCGGTCCTCCTCTCTGTCAATGTCACTGCTGACCCCTGCCCCACAGTGGTCTGGACTAGATGGGCAGCCCATCCCTGAGGCTGAAGCTACTTGTGAGTCCGCACACCACTGACACTAGAACTAGTTAAAGCCCCGACAGACAACCCCTTAACTCCATGCCTCTTACATCGTACTTTGTGTGTTGTGTTTTGTTGGGATTGTGGTCTAGGGTTTTCGGTTTTCATGCTGCAGGCAATGGGTGACTGTGCCGACACACTTGGGACGGAAGAAGAGTTTTTCTCTTTTCCCTGATGGTGAATGACCTGACCGATGATGATGTGATGATCTGAGAGCTTATGGAGCCACCTTGACCAATGTGGCAGGTCAATCTTTGTCCTGACACGGTCGTCACAGGAAGAGGTGGTAGGAGCACTGGTCACACTTGTTGTCTGTCGTGGAGAGGGTGTGGTACAGCGGTATTGCCAAATTTGGGAGCTCAGTATACAATAGTCTCAATTGTTACAAATTCACTCGTCTGTGAAAAGCCGACACTGTTTTCTTGTGTTGAACTCATACACAAAGCCTACCACTAATAACATGCCAGTGTTGTGTAGTACACAGGTGGTGAGGTATTAAAATAAGCCAGACACACCACTGATCTCCGCGTAGCTTCGTATTGTATCACAATCTGGGACATGTCAAGAGGTTGGGACTGCATCGAAAACCTCCCTCCCTGCACAGCATCCGAGCGAGCTGACATCACTGACCTAAGGGCTGATCCAGACAGTCCGATAGAAGACACAGACACTGGCTGCCTCAGTGCTGACTCCACAGCCATGATCATCTGTGACAACATTGCCTTCCCTGTCGCCACCACTGTGGAGTTTTTGAAGGACGGTGTAGTGATAGATGCTGATGCAGAGGACAGGTGAGAGACTGTTGATACTACTTGCTAGGGGAGGGCACCTCTCTTTGCCCAGTACTGCACTCTACGGAGTTCTAATCTCCTCGTTTCAGGTTCACACAGAATTGCGAGACTCTGACAATCGCAGGAGTCACTCCTGAAGACGAAGGCTCGTACACGTGTAGGGTTCAGAATCTCCCGGATGATCAGTTTGAGGACACCAGCAGTGATTTCCCTCTCAAACTGGACTACTGTAGTGAGTACCTACCACACTACTTCTGGTGACATGTCTATACAGCCTATACAGTGAAACCTAGCTCTTTTAAAGGGCATTCAAAATAGAGGACCTCTCTATAAAACACACTTCTCTCGATCAAATGTTAATACTTGTGTGTGTTATCTAATACACCTTTCAATTTTGACGGTGCCAGTGTGTCCTTTATAAGTACAGTATGTATCTCTTTCTCCTACAGTTGTGCCCAGTATAGTGGTAGACCTGACATTCACGAGGAAGAATCCGGAAGAGGGAGACGAGACGACTGCCTCATGTGGGTGGACTGGGAGCCCTGACCCTGTGGTCACCTGGTACAAGGACGGCTCTCCTCTGGATGAAGAGGAGCTCCCGGCCAGGATCAGGATCACCATGTCCGATGATGGAGACACATTCCAGAGCAGTCTCCAGATTGACAACGTGATGCCAAGCGACACTGGAGACTACGCCTGCAATGTCAGCAACCCTATCGGCTTTCGTTTCAATTCAACAGGCTGGAAGTCCAAGGTGTTCAAGGTAGTGTTTATGAAGAACATTATTACAGTGTGAAAATTCCCCCATTATTGCTATATAGCAGCTAGCTCAAGTTTGAATGCAGAAGGTAAGCCACTATTGTTGAAAGCTTAATGTCATGGTGAGCTGTTAAACAGTGGGGCTTGCAGTTGGACTTTCTCTTCTAGGACTCTTCATATTCCTCTCAGTCCTTGCAGTTTTGATCTTCCTGTGGCGTGGTAAACTGGTCCCTCTCCTAATTAAAATTGATACCAATATTAATCTCTCACTACCAGTGATTAAGATGAAGGCGGGGCTAAAATCCTCAGTGGGTGAGGAGGTGACTTACACAGAAATCAACGAAAGAAATGAACCCAAAGAGACGGAAATGGAGATGATGCCAAACTCTGCCTATGTACCTCGACCTGTAGTACATGACGAAGATAACTATGACATCGTCGCTTAGCAGTAATTCGTTTTGGACTAATGAAGTCTTACTTTAGTCAATCTCTTTGTGTTCTCCAGAGCCAGTGTCTTCTTTCAGTGTATTAATGTCATATCCAAATAATGGCGCATGCGTTATACGACGCGTGATTGGACTGCGAAGACCGCGCAGCGAACGAGCCCATGGCCGGAGTGCTAGTGATAGTGTACTGCTTCCTCCTTGCAGGTGAGTAGCGTTATGCCTCTAGCATATTGGCGTAGAAAAGCATGCGCAAAGTTGTGCTCTAACTGTTTGGCCACAGTTAGCTGCAGCTCCGGACAGCAGGACTGCTCCGAGACCCGCACGATAACGAGGCTTCAGTTCTTCACTGTCCCGCCAGGCACTGTCTGCTTCCAGTGCGACTTTGGCAGTGGAGTGGCCGCAGATTCCGTCTTCCAGTTGGACAACTCGGCCGTGGGGGAGGAAGCTGGGACGGTGCAGAACGGAGTCCTCGCTGTCTTTGCTGCGGAAAACGTATTCCAAACTACAATTTCAACATCTTTGTCTTGCATCAGTGGGAACACAAGACTAACTGCACACATTTTCTTGGAAAGTGAGGGGATAAATTTAAATTAGTTTTGTCACAGCAATGATCCTTGTGTTTTTTTCTTGAAAACGTACCAAAGGCCTTGCACCTCCGCAAGTGCCTAGTGCAGTGTCAGTGAGAGAGGGCGAGACGCTGACATTAGCGTGTGATGTCACCAATTCCAACCCACTCCCTACCGTTAGCTGGATAACGGCAGAGGAAGATGTGATAAGTGGGAATACTGTGGAGATAAACGACATACAGAGGAGCCAAGCCGGAAACTACATCTGCGTTGCCACTGCAGAAGATGGCAGTACTCAGAGCTCCACTACAGTAGTCACTGTGACATGTTAGTTGATAGAGGTTAACAAACACACTTCAGTGCTGCATGAGCAAGTTGGTTAGCTCACTGTATTGTTACAATCTTGTAGTAGTGCAGTCCATTGTAAAGTGGTGCAGCATAAGGAGGTGAGACTTAGCTAAAGGAATACAGTTTACATTGGCTTAGACCTTGACCAGGAGTTGCCTTGTACCGAGACCTGATAAATAAACATCTTGTCTATTTTACCTAACATGCTTTTTGCTGCAGTTGCTCCAGAGATAACAGCAGACGAAGAGGGCTTGGTGAAATTTCCCCTGAACGGCACACTACACCTATCCTGTTCGTTTCAGAGTGTCCCAGCACCAGATTCTGCCAAGTGGACCCACAATGGCACCCAGCTTCTCTCTACTCTAGTCACATTGACAGCCTCGACTACCACACTGACTCGCACCAACCTACAGGCAAATGGTGGCGGGGCCTATGCCTGTAGTGCCAGCAATGAAGTTGGCTCTGACACTGCCACAACCTTCGTCAGAATACAATGTAAGCTGCAAACGTTCTCAAATGTGTGTAGGCAGTAAACAAACTGTTTTGCTCCCAGTACCCTCTGATCCCGTTAGCGACCTTGAAGTGATAGAGAGGGCCACAGATAGTCTGACTCTCTCATGGACAAATCCACACTTTACCGGGTTTGCTTCGATAACATCATTTAGAGTCATAATTACAGGAGGTGGACCTGAGGGATCTGAGGCATTTGGCGGAGACGAAACACTGACGGAGTACACAGTGTCTTCTCTGAGTCCACTGAGTTTCTATACCATCAGTCTCTCTGCAGTGAATGATGCTGGTCTTCAGAGTCTGCCTGTCATAGTACAGGAGTCAACACGATCCCTCAGTCAGAACACTTCTTCTTCATTGATCATTGAAAATATTTGGTTTTTCCCTTATTGAATACAGGACTACCTGTGATAGAAGAGCCAGTTATAATTGTCGTAAATTCCACAGCCATTCTTCTCCAGTGGCAGGTGAAGCATAGCAGCTATGTTTCTAGAATGGTGTGATTGGCATAGAATGTTTACCTGTCTGTAGGATCTTTCCCCTTCCCACCTGTTCTTTAGCATTACATTGGCTGTGAATATGTAGTCACTGTGTAGCTGAGCCAACTTGTGTGTTGCAGTCAACAATTGCGTCAATAGGCCACTTGGAACATCAAACATGCTTCTTTGCCACTGCCCATCCACAGTCCCCAAGATACGATCCAGCCACCACTTACCCTGTCACCAGCTACCAGCTGACCTACATAAAGCAGGGTGGAAGGGAGACCCCAACAAACAGGAGTCTCCCCCTACAGCCCACTAGTGTTACAGTTGGCAACTTGGCAAAGGGGACAGTGTACGTTTTCACCCTAGCCCCTGTCAACACTGCCGGTCCAGGGGCAACATTCACATATGAACCTACTGAGACATTCATTGATCGTGAGTTATTCACAGGATTATGTAAAGAGCCAAGTGTTTATTTTATGACATTCAGCTCCCAGTCCTCCCCGAGAAGTTACAGCAGAGTCTCCAAATCCATTCACCATTCAGTTATCGTGGTCTCCCCCGAGCAGTGATGGAGGTTTGTCTATCGTGGCTTCCTGTCCTAGAAAGAAAACTTTAGCCACAAAAATACTTTTAGCGACTTTATGAGCCTGTGAAAGTTTCAGTGGGTTTAGCCGGTTGACTTTTCCCAGCTTACAGTTTTTAAGTGATTCACAAAAAGCATTGTGTCACACAACCCCCACAGGCCGTCCAATCGGTGAGTATCGCATCCAGGTCTTCACCTCTGGTGAATATTCCTCAACTTATAATCTCCCTGGATCTGCCGAGACATACGATATAACTGAGCTGTCTCAAAACACAAGCTATGAGTGAGTGTACAGCACAATCTGGTGGGTTTCTGTTAAAATACTCCACTAACTGCAGAATCAGGATCACAGCTGTGAACGCTGACAATCAGGAGAGTAACTATGTGGCCGTCATGCAGACGACAGCTCCGGTTGGAGACCCACAGCCACCAGTACTAGACGCATTCTCTGCAGCCAGGGTTGGGAACACCATGGCAGAAATATCTTGGGATACTCCAGGTAATTAATGGGGGGGACTTGTTGATTTGTTTACAGATCCCTTAATAACATAGGTGGATTTCCAAACCGGTATATCATCCAGATTAGAGCAAGCTCACAGAACAAATGGAACATGACTATAAACTTCACAATTTCTGTTCAACTCCTTCCTTCTCGTCAAACATTTGTTTTCAAAGACCTCCAACCGCTAACAGCATACAGTGTTAGAATCCAGTCCGAAAACGTCAAAGGCCTCTCAGAATTCACAGAGATTTTCACCTTCAAAACCTATGGTTCGCCAACTTTCTTCATGGCTCTGATTTGAATATTAGAGATCTATGCTGGTTCTTGCACATTATAGACTATGTTGACTTGTCTAGGAGATGTTGAGATCAGTGGAGATGAAGCAGTGTCTGTTGGAAGTACACTAAGTCTTGGGTGTGGACTGGAAGGAGCAGACTCCTCTGATTCCAACATCAACTACACATGGAGCTCCACAAATGGCCCTCTCCCTCCTAGAGCCTCAGTGGGTGAAGGTATGCTTTCATCTCTCCTCGTTTCCGTGGTTTGAACAGCTCGTTAATGCTGTCAGTAGACGGAGTTCTGGTGATCCAAGATGTGAGACGGGAGGATGGTGGAGTATATACATGCACTGCCAACGGTGTCTCTGGTAACATCACCGTTGAAGTGTCACGTAAGACCCAGTCTACCACTCGATAGATCCCTATGTGTTACTTGATGTGTATTCAGGGAGCTCTAACTTGAGTCTTGTGGGGATTGTGGCAGGGAGTGCTGGAGGAGGTATTCTCATCACACTCATAGTCTGCACTGTCTTGTGCATAGTCTGGTGCTACAGAAGATCTAACAGTAAAGGTTTGTCAATCCACTAGACTTTATTATCTGCTGGACCAGTTGCCTCTCTCTCAGTGGTGGTTGATGACATTGACTCTCCTCCAGTGATGGACAGGTGTAGCCACATATACGAGTGTCTTCCATTGAGCAACGCTGGCCCTGTCTACAACAACCCCATTACTTTCATGCCCAACAAAGCATATGGAGTTGGGCTGAATAAAAACCTGAAGGAAGTAGAGCTGGCCAAGTCGTGTGACGATGTGTATGTGGAGGTTCAAGCGGGAGTGAGGCGCCAACCAGAGATGATCTATGATCTGGCTGTGCACAACCCAATGCAGACGAAAGCAGAGGAGAGCGAGGAAGATTATGATGAGGCTTACGATCCTGAATCGGACCTAGAGGAAGCTTGTACTAATATGTAACTGATTTGCTACACCATTTTTTATGTCAACACAGAACGAATCACGTGCGTATGCACGCTGCGATCCGCGGTGCGCGCGCGCGCTCGCGTGGGCGCGGGCGCGGGCGGCGCAGGCCGTCGTCGAGCGCTCAGTGCTGCGCAACCTGCAATATGATTTGGTATTTTTAGTGCAAACACGCAAGTTTCTTTAGTCTTGTACAATACACTAAAGGCAAGAAAAGAGACGATGAAGGACACGGCAGTTCGCTTGGCTATTATTACTGTACTACTCTACTTCTCCAACGTAGGTGAGTTCCTTACATGCAGTCATATAATGTGTAGCTAGTGAATCTGATAGCCTAGTAATGCTGAAGCTTGCATGTAGATAGATAGCGACGTGAATTAGACATCTACTACTGCATGCTATTCTACTTTATTTTAGTTTATAGCTTGCATGAAAGAGTTCACAATGTGAAAGCTATACCTCATGACTTGAGTGAACCGCAGTAGCTACACCGTAACTGCTTCATCCAATGGCCATTAATTGCACTGCCTGACCTGTGAAATAATGCTATGCTGTAACCAATTTGATTGGCTTCTGTAGTCCTTACTGAAAGAGCTTCTTTGCAAGTCTCGCAGAACTTTGTGCATTGCGGTGCTCCAAAACTCGAGTATTATATCTGGATTCTGTTGGTTCCGAAAACGAGGTCTTTAACCGCCACCTGACACAGCACAATCTCACCATCACGCTCTGCCCTTATCCAGCCCTGTCAAACATGCTTATCCACACCATATGTCTTTATTACAACACACCTACAGAAGCAAGAAGTGTGGACGGCACAAACAGAGATCTCCCAAGAATAAGCAAGAGGCAGACTACTCGTATGTCTAACACTCTAACACCTCGAGGTAGCATAACATTACTAGTTCACTGTTTACGCAGTTCCTGGTGTTCCCCGCAACCTGGAGGCTGGTGAAATCACAACTGAGAGCATTGAAATATCGTGGAGCCCACCCACCTCTGACGGTGGTGCTCAAATCACCGAGTACTTGGTCCGGACCCGGGACGTGGAGACCCGTGAAGAAATCAACAGGGTTACCAGTTTAAACCCGTTCAACATTACCATTTTGGACGCCTTCAGCACCTATACTATCACAGTGGCTGCAATGAACTCTGTTGGATTTGGCCCAGAAACGTCAATCACTGCTCAAACTCTCTCACTGAGTACGTTCCTATAATCAGCTGTGCATGATTAGTAGTCATTCTAATCCACTGCAATTTCTACAGGGCTGAACATAATCCACAATCCAATCACGACATTGGCTCCGACAGAAATACGCATAAGGTGGCAGGTAAGTCCAGTAATGAGTAGAAACTTCCTATTGATAAAGTGGCAATAATTACAGGAGCCGGAGAGTGATCAAGAAGGTACCACAGCTCCGCCACTAATGTTCCAGGTCAACTACACTGAGAACGGTGGACCAATCAATGTCATTGATCTCTTCCCCGAGAACTACAACTCGGGGTCGTTTCTTGTCGACTTCCGTCTCACCGCAAATCCCGGCAGTACTTACAAGATCTCCATAGCTGGCTACAACGTTCGTGGGATTGGTGCTATCTTCAATTTGCCGGATAATACCCCACCCCTTAATTGTAAGAGAGGAGCCCTATAGGGTGCACTAAAACATCAGCTTATAATGTTTTTCTCCACAGTTCCTTCACGACCTACCAACTTCGTGGCAAACCCACTCAGTCCTTCCGAGGTAGAGCTCACATGGGAAGAACCTACAGATCTAGGAGGTATAACTATAGATTTTTAGATGACAACATGAGCTTAACGCTGATGGTTCTCTGTCTTTTTGAAGGTGGTACGATACAAGGGTATGTGATAACATTTTCAATGCCACCCCGCATGCCAGTGAGCGTGAGTGGCGACTCTCGAACCTACATTGCAGACTTCCTGGAGCCTGAGTCGGCCTTTGAGTGAGCAAGCAGTCTTACTATACGTAACACAACATTGAGTTACCTGTATTACTGTGATTGACGCAGAGTGTCAATACAAGCTGAGAATGAACTGCGGCGGAGTCAACCAGCGACTGCAAGTGGAACAACTCTTCCAGAGCTGACCCCAAGAATGCCTGACCCACCCACCGTCACTGATATCAAAGACACTTCAGCAACCATTACCTGGACCGAACCTGGTACTACTAATCTCTATTATTTAGCTACAGGTGCCGTTTATGTGCTCATGCAACAGATGGTTTTCCGACTGAGTATGAATTGGGATACCGAAGGAGCTCAGAGGGGACTGGTAGCGAAACTCTCTGCACTGTTAACAACGAGGTGTCAAAGATTTTGCTCAATTTGGACCCACAGACCAACTATGTCGTCAGATTACGTGCCATCAATTCTGTGGGTGCTTCTGACTTCAGCGATGAAGTCACTTTCACCACTTTTGGTGGGTTCTGTGTATACAGCACACTTCAACAGCAGCACCTACGATTGATAATCTTCCACTGTTTTACAGGAGCTATAGTGATCACAGCTAGTCCTGAGGGGACCATCACAACAGGGCAGGGTCAGATTGTTAGTCTCCAGTGTATGTTGGAGGGAGCCACATCAGGAGACAACATCGAGTACCGGTGGAGCAAGGACGGAGCCAGCGTCCCCAGTGGTGTACAGACCAACGGTGGTAGGTCTTAGACAGACACACGTGAGCAATGGATTATCTGGTGGTGTCCCATTCAGATACACTGACTGTGGGTGATCCTACACCAATTCTTTCTGGAGAGTACATGTGTACAGCTGTTGAACAGGAGATCTCAGGGTCACACCAACTGACAATTGTGCCAGGTATATACCCACAGCTGGACCTCTCAAAATTGCCATCACCATGAGTAAAATTGTTCTACTTGATTTCAAGGTGTCCCTGGAGCTCCGAGTAATGTCCGGGCTGAAGTAGAGGGAGAGACTGTCTCCATTTTCTGGGACGAAGCCATCGGTAACGGAGCTGATGTCACCTACACCGTGACAATCACCCTAAACGGTCAACAAGTTTATCAACGCACATCCTCCGGTGCATCATTGTCACTTGCAAGAGATACGTTCCAAGAAGAAGAAGATGCCGTGAGAGAAACTGGGTATATGGTAGCAGTTGAGGCAGTCAACATTGCTGGAACTGGTGGACAGGCCACAGCTACTTTCACCGTCCCATCAGGCAAGTCTAAAGACTTGATTTCAATACACAACTTTATCTCCCGTTTTCTGCAGGTCTTCCGGGAGCAGTCAGTAATATAAGAGTGGATATTGAGGAAGATAACCTAAATTTGATATGGGATGCCCCCACAATTAACACAGATACAGTCATATTGTACAATGTCGAGGTTCTTTGGGGGGCGTGGACGGTCAGCAGGTGTATACAACGATGGCATCGGGCACATCTCTCTCGGCCACTCGTGGTGACATACAGGAGGCAGGAGACATTGTTAGGACTCGTGACACTCAGTACACGGTCGTCATTGTCACCAGAAATGGGAGAGGTGACAGTGAAGCAACCTCGGAAACCTTCACTCTTCCAGCAGGTGAGTAATTGAAACTGACAATGTGATCGGTGAATGTAAACATGTTTGTCTATTTCTCTCTGTACAGAATCGGCTGCTCCACCTGAATGTAAGTATAATTATACAGTGGCGTGCATGGTCTGTATGTTATGATAGTGGGGGTGTGGCGTTTGTGTCACGAGGAAAGCCCTGTAATCAAATAGAAGACCAAATGTTTCAACGTCTTTATGTGCACATTTGTGGGTGTATAAGTCCTTGTGCTCCTCTTGTAACTAACGGCTCTTGATGGACACTGAAAGCTGCTGGCAAGGAGAAAGAGTGATCGTTGTATCTGCTAGTACCATATTCCCGCCTCCTTCCCTCCCTACCTAGTCTCATCTATCACTCTTTCTCTTGCTGCAGCTGCTGTGTGTCTGGCTGTTCTTATATCTCTCCTGGTGCCTTCCCTCTGCCTCTCCATGCACTAGATGAAACATACTTTCTAGAACATTACAATACTACTACATCAGTGCTGCCCTATTGCTTTTAATATGTAATTTGATTTCTTTAATGGTTTGGGGAGTCAAAATGTGTTCGCCAATCTTAGCGCCAGAGCTAACAAATTCTGAGTGACGTGTATTGCAAGATCAGCCTAGCTACAGAGGCATTTTGCTGTGCCATGCTTGCTCTCGAGTGGATCCAACAGAAGCCACTCTCCAGCTCATTCTGTTACCATGCATCGACATCACCTTCTCCCACAGCAATGTGGGGACTCATTGAAGTCCAATCACACATTCCTTGCTGAGTGAATCATACATACCTGTGCCATGTAGCTCCATGCACCCAACAACGGAAACGGGACATTCTTTATTCCACCCTATCAACACTTAGAGTCTGGCCCTCTCTTTCTCCCCCACCCCAGTGACTTGCTCCAATACAGAGGACAGTGTGGTATCACTAATGATCGATTGCCAGGTCCTGAGCACATTTAGCTTCTCCACCACCTGTTCCTATGATGGTCTTCCTCCACAGTTATGTAAGCCAGCCCCCTGCTTGTTGAACAAGATAAACATCTCTCGGCTAACATTGTAGGTTCACTATCATTTCTCCTAAATTTTCTTGAATTTGGACCCGGAGACCACACCCTCTTACTGAGAGTGACAGCGTTGGATGGACAGACTGATGACATCACCATCCCATTTACCACGCCCCCTCGTCTCTCCGTGAGGTGCAGTGTGGTCAACTCTGTCCTGAACTGTGACACCACAAATGAGGTGTCCAGCCAGACATGCAGCTTCAATGGTCTGCCAGAGATCAGCTGTCTCTCGCCATTCAATATCCGACCTTTGAACCTGGAGCAAGGAGACAACACCCTCTCTGTCTCAGCCACGGATGTGTTTGGACAAACAGACACATTTGCCTTTGATTTCTCCACGGTACCAAGTGCTGCCATATCTCTCTCTTTTGAGGAGCAGATCTCTCTTAGAGAAGGGACCACTAGCGCAGTTCCCTTCCTCTTCACGGTTATAGGGCAGGCACTGGAAGACATACCGTTTTCCCTAAGATCTCTGACCTACCAACAGTTCCAGGACATGACTGGGAGCTCTGTTGATAGTGTCTTCTCTGGGACTACCATACCACCTCCTGCTAGTGAAAGTAAGAGCATCTCCACAGCATTGCTAGCTATAGTCATTGCTATGTGTCTGTTGTGCTGTCTGTGTACAGGTGATTTTGATGCGAGTTACTCGGAATCTTTCACTTTCACTGCAAGCCAGGACATGATCACGACCAACTACGACATAAGCCTCTCGGTCCCAGAGGACGAGGTTTTTGAAGGAAACGAGGGATTCGTTCTCTACTTTGTGTTTGACGAGGGGAGCATCAATGCAGGGGACTACAGTAGACTGGAGACTGGGACCAGAGCCATTCTGGTCACCATCACTGACAACGACCAGTGTAAGTAAAATATGAACATAGGGAAACGGATGTGGGTAGCTAAAGGTGCAACTTCGTTACACGAGGTAAAGTTTCATGAAAATTCAAAGTAAGGGTACGTTGCATGGATAATTCGTGTTACTTTATCAATGCCTTAAGGTGTAAATTGTGTGCTATTTTCCTATGCAGTAACCGTGACCTGTACTGGAATGGAAGCAGGAAGAGGTCTTAGAGTTAATGTCGAGTGTATGGCATCGCACAACATCAGCTCTTCTACCTGCTCTCTGGATGACGGGCAACAAACAGACTGTGAGTGTTACAACTCCATCAAACTATACCCGTAAACCTTTCCTCTAAAACCACAGGCCAGTTTTCTCTGGATATTACCCTGCTAACCCCAGGGGAGCACACATACACCGTGACCATAACAAGTACCGACGGTCAAACAGCCTCTGACGCCATTGAGTTCTCCAGACCTCCCCACCTCTCTGCCAATTGCTCTGTTAGTGGGACTGTTCTAAGTTGCACCACCAACAACGAGCCTGATTCTTTCTTCTGTCTCGTCGATATGTTGTCTGGAGTCGGCTGTTCAGCTGTGTTTGAGCTACAGACCATAAATATTCAAGTTGGGGCACACATCATCCAGGTCTTTGTTCGGGACGAGTTCTTCCAACAAGTTCATCTGGACGTGAGCTTTACAATTGTTAGCGATCTTCAGATCCAGTGTGAAGTGGATTCTAGTAGCCTCACCACAAGTGTGGTGGAGTGTGGGAGTACAGGAGGGATCGGGAGTGTCACCTTCACCTGTTCTATTGATGGTACACTGCCAGAAGAATGTGAGTTGCATTAATCAACCATACCACTGATTCAATGTGTGTGTTCTGTAGGTGAGGGGTTCCCGCTGGAGCTGGACCTATTCAGCTTCTCACCAGAGGAGCACCCGCTGATAGTGACGGCTAGAGATGCCGCAGGCCAGCCGTCTTTATACGAGTACACATTCTTTGGCATACCAGACCTCGACCTGGCCTGCATCTACGACGACAACAGCAACACACTCCTCTGTGAAGGCAACAATGATATAGGATCTTCCGCATGTGTCTTTGATGGGCAGCAGGAGGCTGTGGAGTGCTCCCTGCCACTGGAGATCAGACTCACAGGTCTGAGACTGGGTCCCCACAATGTCACCGTCACCGCCACCGATCGGTTTGGTCAAACTGAGAGCGTTTTCCTTGCCTTTGATTTTGCTCTCGGGCCCATCGTCGTGTCAATTCCAGCGAGGGCTTCGGTGATTGAGGGCAAAGAGTTGTCTCCTGTAATGTTCAGCATTAGTGGGCAGGCTCTGGCGACCTTCTCCTTCTCCGTCTCGCCCCTCACCTACACCCAGTTCGAAACTCAAGCAGGCCTCTCAGTCGACGGTCTATTTATTGGAGAACCTCCTCCTTCTGCAAGCATCAGTAAGCATCTGCCCCTAATTATGCTATAAATTATTTCTCTTTTGTATAGGGGACTATGATGGTTCGACAGTCAACTTTGACTTTGAGACAGGGCCTGCAGCAGTTACCCAGCCATACACCTACAATGCAGTCCTAGAAGATGATGATGAAAACGAGAACATTGAGGTCTTCATACTCTACTTCAGGTTCACAGAGAGTGAGCTTAATCCCGACGACTACAGCAGACTCAGTCAGACCTCTGGCTTTACCCTTGTCACTCTCATTGACAACGATGGCTGTAGGTTTTATATGAGTCTTAATCGGTAACTCCTGAACATGTTTCTTTCTTGTCTGCAGTGAAGCTGACATGTGTACAGAACGTATCAGATCCCACTGTGGCTGTTGTGACATGCAATGCCAGTGATACTATTAACGCAACTTGTTCGTATGACTCTGGCCCTCTGCAAGTCTGCATTGCTTTCAGTCACAAGGTTAATATACCAACTCAGTGCCACCGAGGAATGTGTCCATAGTTTAATTTTCCTCCTCAAGGTGTTAGTGTGTTTGAATTTACAATCGATATCCTGGACAACGTCCCGGGAGAGCACTCTGTACTGGTGATGGTTGTGGACCAGATGAGTCGTGTTGCGGCTGACTCCATTCGGTTCACCACTCCGGAACTGCCTCGAGCCACATGCGGCGTTCGCCGAAACGTCCTCACCTGTGACAGCAACAACCCCATCGACACCCAACTCTGCCAGTTTGACAGTGACGCCCCCATGCCGTGCACCTCTCCACTCAATGTTCTGGCACTGGGGCTGCCTCTGGGTCCTCACTCACTACTCATCGTCATCACTGATGTCTTTGGCAGGACTCTTGAAGTTCCGGTCGTGTTTTCGGTAGTGAGTAACCTTCAGCTCACTTGCGTGGCTATAGAGGGCGATAGAGAGTACATTGGAGGAGTTGACTGCAGGTCTTCTACTGGTATAGGGGAAGTAAGCTATGAGTGCTCTTATGATGGTGGACCACCTGAAAACTGTGAGTGGAAACAACCACGTTCTTCAGTAACAAAAAATCACTGTGGATGGTCCTCAATTTGCAGGTGCAGGAAGTTTTCCAATTGCGTTCAACTTCTTTGAGTTCTTTCCTGGGAGCCACAACCTCTCCGTGGTGGCCACAGATTCTGCCGGAGCTGTGAGGACATACGTGTACCACTTCACAGGAATGACCCCAGAACCAGAAAGTATGTTTCCATTAATACCATGTGATGCCATATTATGTTGACCAGTCCACACTTGGTATTGACCTGCCAAAGCTTCAATTCTTGACATTATTATCCCTGTCTTCCCCAACAACCACAGGCTACACTGTGTCGGTAAACACCATCCTCCTGACAATCAATGAGAACGGGTCTTTCCACGAGAGTGGGGACCTGGAGATTTCAGAGTCGGGCTACTCATTTGGTGACATTGTGATCACAGTGGTTCCCCTCAGCTACTCACAGTATGAGCAAGAGACTGACCGGAGAGTAGCTGAAACATTCCCTCGCAGACCTACTGAGGCCTCAGGTACACCCAAGGTCTACACAATCACAGTTATTGATGTCTTTGTGCATACAGTTTGTTCACTCACAACTGTGTATCACGCTTTTTTAGGGAGTGATTTTGAGTCTGAGATCATCAGATTCACGTTCAGCGCTGGTCTGGAGTCAGACCCGCCTCGAACGGTCCTTGGTTCAAGTCTTGGGAGACGCGACTCAGACGAGGAGACGGCTGAGGGGTTTGTGCTACTGGTGGCAGTCGATGAGGCCAGTCTTGACCCCCGAGATGTCGGGAGAGTCAGTGTCGAGGATGATCTCATACTTGTCTCCATTGTTGATAATAATAACAGTATGTACAATACACGTGACGCGCTGTTGAGGGAATGTGGCAGTAATAGGGCTAAAGTTCTAATGATGGAAGCCCCTTATTGCTTTAGGAACATTTATAAGTTTAGCCCTTATGTACTTACACACTTCCTGGATACAGAGTGGAACTTTATCTTTCCAGATGTGGTACAAAGTGAGAGGGACACACTGATTCTGGGGCTGACTGCAGACCAAGTGGCGGGACTTAGTGCAGGGATTCTGGTCGTCATCATCATTTTGGTCACCTTCTCCCTCTTCTTATGTGTCTTTGTGACCCTACGGCGCCGGAGAAAGGCTGCCGGCGAGTCAGGTAAGGAGATGTGTGTTTCATTCATTGCAGAGTAACTTTGTGTCTGCAGGTTTCTTCAGGTCTCGCAGTAGACAGTCCAAATCGAGCCACAGCAGTGAGAGAAGAATGTTCCATGCTGCACGATGACTCGATGATTGAGACTATTATTTAAATTCATATCCTAACATCTCCGTCTCTATTAGCTAGGCTAAATTACTTCTGTATTGTAAGTGTATCGTCATTAACAACGTGACGTGTAGTATTGCGCGTGCGCAGAGTCGAGCGTTGCAGCAGCAGCAGCAATCATCATCAAGCCACACAACTCAGCATTCCGAACGACGGAGTGGCAGGCGATCCTTGGTACTGCATCGTGCGAGCATGCATCGCCGATGCATTGGTGGTGTGGTAAAAGTAAACGAATACTCCCAAACTCAGCTAGTTTCGTCCTACACGTCGTTCGTTCGGTGGTCGGAGAAGAAAGTACTCTCGCCATGAAACTCGACCTCCTGTGTGGAGTCGTTGCACTCCTCTGCTCATCTCTGATTCACCAATCTTGTAAGCAAATACTGCTCTTTAGACTGCAGCTTTTTCAGCTATTATCTCCACTGCAGCTGCCAGTATCGTCAACTTCGCCGAGGTAGATCAGTCGTACAGCGAGGCGCGACAGCAAGACAACCTCTTCCTGACGAAAGAAGTGACCCCCCAAGACATTGCCGTCACTATCCGACTCCTAACAGTCTCCGAGTTCGAGAATGAACGCATTAGTCAGGGGTGGAACATCTCTGATGGGGATCTGAGGAGAATTGCTGACATTCAAGTCCCAGCTGATTGTAAGCAGCTCCTCATATTACGAGAAAAATAATGTTAGTTTTTTTTTAAATTTACAGCTGAACTTGACTTCAACAATGCATCGATCCGGGTTATTTTTCCAGCAAATGAAGAGGAGACAAGTGTGGTGTTAAATAATAATAACATCATTAACGATATAGTTAACGAGGCGACAGAGGGCTTTGTAATGGTGCTACTGACTGATGTTGACAACAACAACGTAGACGTGCTTCGTTTCAACATTTTTGACGATGATGGTGATTAGATCGCGTGTGTGTCGATCTTCATGATTTTTATTTTGCTCTCTTTCTGTCCCTGCAGCTATAACCATTGGGTTTGAGAGCATTGTGATTGATGTCGATGAAGATGCAGGCATCCTGACAGATGAAGATGAATTCCGTGTTGTTTTGGTGGGCGCGATCTCGGAGCAAAACCTCACTGTCAGTGTAACCATATTTGTCATGAACAAGTCATTATCAGCCACTCCAGGTCAGTTGGAACACACACACACACACACATCAACAACACCATAAAATATTTCAATACACGGTGCAGATGTCGACTTCAGGCCAGTTGACGGCCTATACACCTACATCCTCACAATCCCTGCGGGCGAGAGTTACGCCCCTCTCAACCCTATTGAGATTATCGACGACCTGATGGTTGAGGGTGACGAGATTTTCTACTGCATGTTGTCAGCAACAGGGCCTGAAGCACCCGTTGATCAAAGCAGAATGTTAGCAATGGTCACCATCATTGACAATGACTTTGAACGTAAGTTTTAAGCCTATACTTGACTAACACAATTCCACAGATAACACCTTGTACTTATGTAATGTCCACCAGCTACTTCAACTCCTATTCCCCCATCTTCAACTTTTACTCCGCCTCCTACCCAAACTCCTACTCCCCCGACAGTGGACATGGGAGGAGACCCTCACTACAGCATCATGCTCCCGTCTGGCCAGCTCCTCTGTTTCTCCGTCCACGGAGAAAAGAACTTCCCCTTCAACCTCATCAGCAACAGCCTCCTCCAAATGAACGCCTTCTTTATAGAGGATGCCCAGCGAGAGGAGATCACCTGGATTGGCTCCCTGGGAGTGGTGGTGCAGCACGCCGCCTACAAGAAGTCCAACACCACCAAGATGAGGTTTGACGCCAAGGAACAGACCATCTATATCAACAACGGAGTCAGTCTAAATGCCAAAAGGGTTGAGAGGCTCACTCTAGCAAACGGAAAACTCAGTGTAACTGAGGCTGTTCGTAAGGATGCCGAGAAAAATGCAGAGGTCGAAGTGGATCTTGTTGATGTTGGATTGTCCTTCTCCGTTCGATTTGTCAAGAAGCGCCACCTTGACATGTCCTGGAGAAAGGTGTCCATGCAGCCTACCAACTCACATGGCATCATAGGTAAAGTTCCCATTCTGTGCTAATAGGAAGAAAGAATCACATGAAGCAGTGCTAGCAACCAAGCAGAGTCTGATACAAGCCATACATTAACATTTCTCTGTCCACTGTCGTTGCCCAGGTCAGTTCATGCGCGAAGGTGTGAGGATTGACGAAGTACGCAAACTGCTCTACCTTCCCAACATGGCACCGGTGCCAGTGATGCGCAGCTCTGTGTGGCACTTTATGGAGAGAGAGAGTCCAGACCCACGTGACCAGAAGTTCTGCTGGCAGGCCATGAACCCTGGCTATCAGGGGAAAAGGCTCATTGAGGGCTCCTACCTAGACTACTTGGTGGATGATGTTCTCACTCCTGACTTCAAGTTCACCTTGTAATAGAATGACGAACAAAATTTTTATAATTAGGTTACTACATCATCATTACTATGTATTGTCAGTTGTAATCATCAAAATTAACCACCGCTTCTCTAATCTCTAATCCAATTGCGCATGCGTAAATATATGCGCCGCGGCGCCGGTTTACGCATAAAACTAGCGCGGCTTCTCATTACCAGCGAATGCTGACGACCGAATGGTGAGCAACATCATACGACGACGACCGAGAAGTATGGTGGATTTCCACGTTCACGGAGTCGTCGTTTTACTATTCACCCTCAGTAAAGGTAAGAACGTAACATTATCATAATCTTACCTATAGCTAGGTAGCTAGCTAGCTAGCTTGCCTCGTCGTAGTGAGTGTTCGCGTGCACGAATCGAAAGCCGTGAACACAGCTTCTTTAGGTCAGTCTAGTACACGCAGAACCGAAGAATGTTTTCATATTACTAAAAGCAGTGGTGAGGGAACATCTGCGCCTACAGCAAACATCTCGTGTGTCGACATGGCCAGTGTAAGAGAAAGGAACGCATGCAGTCAGGCAGACCTATGACTTCAGCTACTAGCGGTACAAGATCATACTTCCCGTATCTGTACCAGTTGAAAACTAAATACTTTTGGCTTCATCCATTCCCAAAACTGTAGTCAATCGGTTCACAGATCAGTAATCGTAAAGCATGCATGTAACATCATTAATAAACTATTTAAACAACAGTCTAACATTTGACTAGCATTCCAATGGGAATGGCCACCTGCCAAAGCTATTATTCAAACTGCATAGACCTCCTAAACATCAAAGAAACGATAATTTACCACCCAAATAAGTGTCTGGGAAGGTGCAGTTACATATTATAATACTCTCACCCCATGTTCCACTACAGTGCTATGTACAGAACTGAACCTGGCCATTCCAGAGTCTGGAACAGTCATTGAAGAGTTTGCCAGCGACTCACTCCAACTCAGCTTCTTCTGTCGGCTGCTCAACACCCAAGGTTCACAGATTGTCACCAACTGGTTCTTTCTCAGTGAGGAGGGGAAGGCTGAGGGGCGAGGCCCGGGCGGCCTCACCTCTAGCGACACTCGATTCAATCAGTCTGGGGACACAATCATGGCGGGACAGTTTCAAATCCCCAGTAATACAAATCTGACGGTGAACGCTCTCGCTACCGACCTACACAATTCTACCTTGTCATGTGGCACTGCGGATGACAACTTCATTGCTGTGTTTACCATCTTTGCCTACGGTAATGCGACCCCATTTGAAAACATTTGCTTTTCCTTATTAAAACACAAAATGGCTATGTAGCTAATATTTCTCTCCTCTTCCCCTAAACAAACAACCTGCAGTTAACCCGTCTATTCCTGGGAATCTTGATGTTATACTGGAAGATTTATCAGCCACCATTACCTGGGAGACACCTGTGAATCTAGGAAACCCAAAGATCTCCTACTACACCTTAATCATATTAGACGACCAGGGAAACACCCACGTTAATGAAACTCTCCCCGCTCCTGTTACCACAATGTTCACGATGCCTGGACTCCTTCCACTGACCAACTACACCGTAACACTGACTGCTGTTTCGCAGCTCGCCCCCACACCTGTCATCAGCCCCACAGCCAGTTTCAACTTTTCCACGACCACCACAGGTAAAGACACATGCTGACACTCTTTTGCACGATGAGGCTCTGGACTAATTCAGTACTGGTTGTCGTTTTTCCGTCTGCAGTGCCACTGGTCAACTGCAGAACTGCGAGTATCGCCACAGATCAGAGAAGCGTTGAGGATTGAATGGGACAACATACATACTGGCGGACTGGATCTTATATCTGCTACCATCGAATATGCAGTGCTCACTTCTAGTGAAAACGCTACTGGTAGCAACTCTACACCAGTAGACAACCCAGTAGTGGACATTAATGGTGGGGCAGCAGTGTTGAGAACTCTGCCAGAGGCTGGCCTCGACTACGTCTTCACAGTCTCGACTGAGAACGCTGAGGGAGAGAGTGACCCCAGCCAGTGCCCACCTGTCTTTCTTGCTATTGGTGAGTGAGTGTGTACAATATTACTCTACTGCAACTATGTAGGCACGTTTGTTATATTACATCAATAGTAACCCTAATTAGAACTCTTTGAACCCTCACTAGCTCTTATTCTAAAGCAGGGCTATGTATGGTATGGCATTGCAAGTTTGTATATAGTAGTAAAGATGTCCAAGTGCAGCATGCTGAGGGTTTTGAGAGTAAATCATACTCCACAAAAACTCACCCAAAGTCTTGTGCAAACTCAGAACTGGAGTTTGTGTGTAAATACAACTTGAGCTGCAAGCTAGCAGCACTCAAAGGCGGGCATAACCTCACCGTCTCTTAGTTGACATTCCCTTTACCTGACAACCTAGCAACAATAGAAACCATACCGAGGCCAACACATCATGAGATGATCCATTGCATAGAGAATGTATGTGGAGATTGCATTGCTGACAGGAGAGGGTGCCTACACATGCATGCCAGTTGCTAAACAGAAGCACACTGTCATGCAAACAAACTCACACTCTCAGTACCAATTAGGCCAATGAAGCCCACTCTACGGCCAAAATCACATGTAGAAACACCAATTGTGAGCTTCCTTATTAACCACCCTCTCTTTAATGAACAGGGGCCCCCTCGACACCAGACAAGCCCATTGCCAGAGCCAATGGACCAGTGGCAATACTGACACTTCAAACGGCAAAAAGTGGAACTGGAAACTCTGCTCTGCCGTTTGCTTTCTCTGTCCTGGTGTACCGCTTCAACGAAACCAGCAACACGAGTCAGCTGGTCAGCGAGGAAGAACGGTTCAATAGCTCCGAGTACACCAGCAACGAGAGCATCAAGATACACATACAAGATGTAATGGAGCTGAACCAACTCTACCGCTTTGCAGCTCGAGCAGTCAATGCTTTCGGAATGTCTGAAATTTCTGCTCTCTCAGACGCAATTCTGCTCAATGTCTCACGTAGGTTCAAACTGAGCGTAGTAGCCAACCAGCCTTGTGTAACACCTCTCAATGCTCTTTGTAATGCAAATGTGTTAAGGACTATTATTATGATTCCTCTCCTCAGAGCCAACAATAAGTCGTGTGGACACCCAACAGACACCAGATGGCATAGAAGTCTCCTGGGCATTCCTGCACACCGGCGGCTCAGAGCTCCAGCTGGTAGAGATCTTTCTCAGAGAGGACAGAGATGGAGCCACGCTTGAGCTCGTCCCCGGGGGAAATCTCTCCAGACCCCTGAGTACTTCATTCATGATTGACGGGAGTAACCTGCAGGCTGGTGTGAGCTACGAGATAGCAGTGAGGGCCACCAATGACCTGGGTGTTAGTGAGGCGATTGTCTCTGAGATACAGGAGTCAGGAATTGGTATGTTCAACAGAAGCCAAGGCCTCATGCCCTTGCCACTGACTATGGTTTTAGCACATGCAATACCTAATCAATTCACACACCTTACTGACTTAACTTCCCACTCTATAACGCTTTTGATGATGATAGAGAGTTCCCTATATCCCTTACTCGTCCTCCCGTTTTGTGTTTTGTTTTTATCTCCCTCGTTTTGTTCCTTCCCTTGTTTCTTAATCCCCTGCAGGAGTACCAGCACTCCCACTTATCCCCACGCTCTCCTCCTCCACCTCTACCTCCATCACACTCATCCTCTCCACATCCGCCAACGGCCTAATTAGACCAGGGGACACCCTTACCTTCCGTCTCAGGGTCACGACAACTGATGCCAATGGTAACTCTGAGACCTCGTATGAAACTGGGGAATTCTCGGCGGAAATGTTGCGCAACAGTGTTAGACTGACCGTGCCAGCAGAGACTGGCGTTTCCTACGTCTTCTCTGTCAGAGCCGAGAACAGATTTGGGTCGTCGGAGTATTCCGGAGACTCTGAGAGTATCACCATACCTGAACCAACTGAAGGTAGCTCAATGCTTATTTCCATCAACTTCATGTATAGTGATTCCACTGTGCATGTTGTGCTATTGAAGTCTCTCTCTCTCTCTGTCAATAGGAGAGGGTACGGATGAGCTGGAGATGAGAGAAGTGATAGGTATTGCAGTGGGAGTAGGCATCGTGGTGTTGCTGCTGCTGTTCTGCTGTGTTCTCCTAGTCTGTGCCCTCCTTACACGAGGTATGTACATTCATTGGACACTTAGCTGGCACAAACACTATCATGTACCCTCCTTGCCAATGCGCAGAACAAATAGGATATCCAGTACTTTCCACAAGACAGCTACATTATGGTATTGCATCATGACAGTGTTGCAGAACAATCTGCACGTGCATTGCACTATGGACCTGGAGGCTCTTAACTTAATCAAGCTCTTAATGTGCATCAGTTAGCATCATTCCTTTGCCATTAACTACAGGTGGGAAGGAGAGCCATAAGATGGAAGAAGAGGCTGGTCTGGAGATGCAAGACAACTCACTCTACAACAGAACAGAAGCCAGTGGAGAACAGAAAAGAGTTTCCTCCCGAGGCCTTTGAGTCTCAGTATGAGGCTCCTCCAGATGACGGGCACACTGTCCCACTGCGACCGAAGCCCACACACCCAACTGGAGCACCGATAGAGGGAGCCCTACCACTCTACGACTCGCTGAACCCAGCTGGAAGACACGTGTCTACCTACAGTAGCACCAGCAGCAGGGAACTCCCGAACCCTCTCTACAGTGGAGCAAGACCCACCAGTCAGCATGACTCTGGCAGTGGTGTCATCCACAGTAAGACAGTGAGAGGAGGAACAGGAGGGGGTGGAGGAGGGGAAGAACCTCTTTACTCTGAAGCTGGTGTGCCTCCTGAGACCAATGGAGGGATTTACACGGAGCCAGACTCTCGGGGTTCAAAACTGCTGGACCCATTCTCGGCTCCACCTCCACCGCCACCTGATCCTCGAACCATCCCAACAGCCTCCCCTCCTCTCAAGACCGCCCCTCTCGTTGACGGCTCCGACGACCCCAAGGAGCTCCCGACATATGCAGAGGCTGGTCCTGCCGGTAGCGAGGAACACTTGTACTCTGAACTCCCAGACCCCCACCGTCACCGAGACACCAGCTCCCCAACTGACCCATCTCACTTCCACATCCCTCCTCCCCCTCCCACCCAACCTCCTCCCTCCTCCACTCCCCTCCCCTCTGACAGCGCCGAAGAGCCCTCATACAGTGTGCCCTCCAGAGCCGGCTCCCAGAACAGGACAGGGATATAGTTTCCAATTGGCACACTCTCAACAATTCATAGTTTCATAATTAGTGTGTACAAAATGTTTATTGCCGTTATTAGGCAATTCACCATGATTAACCATAATGCTGTATTAACCTCAAGCGTCTATATAAGAAACATGAAAAACCAGATAGATTTCTTTTCCATTGATGGACAGTTGTAACAACTAATTATTAGAAGTGAAATATATTACAATACCCGCTATTTCAGAAACATTATCAGATCTGAATGGTTGCATGTGCATATGTGCATTGTGTTTGCACTTCATTCACCTGTTAAACCTCTAAACTCATTTTGTTGTCAATCATGCGTGGCAGGACTGCTATAATCTGCTCATGTTTCCTATGCTGCCTATATACTCCATCAGAACTGAAAGCAAAACAAAAGGTTTTCCCAGATCTTTGGTGGGGAACCTGCTACACACACGGAGCTGCCCCTTCTCCAAACCCTCACCATTTCTGGCAAACAATGGTTTCCTCCCAAGTATTAGTATCGCAGAATGATAACAAAGGTCAGTGCCGATAATGATCAGAGTGGGCCAGCTGACTCACAGTTGAGGTATACTGACAATTCATAAGGCCAGAAGCTCCTGATGTTGTGGAGTACCACCTAACCCTACCTCAATTCCTCATATCCCCTGACCACTTCATTTCTTCCTCTAGCTCATTTTTATCCCAACAATCTGCTTATGTGTATATAATATACAATAGAAAACACTGTTTTGGGAGTGCACTAATTGGAGTAATGAACCGTACCACAAAAATGGTACTCTACTATACAAACTGTGGTATTTACAAAAACAAGACAGCAGAACAGACAACTAAAACAAGGATTGTTGGCACGGGTTGCGTGGCATGAGCACGAGCAGGCGATCCGGCGCCAGTTTCCACTGTTGGGCCCCTGGTGTTTGTAAAGGTGACGGTGCTCGTGTCAGAGGCTGGGTCGCTACTGCCGATTCCATTCACAGCTCTTATAGTTACCGTCAGCTGAAACATATCCCCGTCCTCGGACACTCCCAACTCCTCTCGTGTGAGTACCAGAGTCGTTTCAGTGACACTCCGCATTATAGTTTCCTCTCTGTACTTTGCTTCGACTGTGTAATTGAGTATGCGGGCCCCGTTATCGTTCCCCGCATTCCACTTCACCATCACCCGTTCGTTCTCCTCGGCCACTACGATATCGCTCACTTGTCAGGGACATTCCCGATTTCCACTGTGATTGTCACGCTCTCAGTGGCAAGTTCGTTGGTAGCAGTGCACACGTAGTCTCCCGCATCACTCGTCTGGGCACTGGCTATCGTATGCACAAAGTTTGAATCCAGTTCCAGCTCTTTGCCGTCCAGAGTCAGAGTGATGTTATCAGGTGAAATGGGAGGGAAGGCATTTGCAGCACAGTTTACAACGACCTCAGCACCGACTCTAATAGACACTCTCGCGTCATCACCGACTTCAAACACTGGCAGAGCTGTAAAAATGAATACACCTAGTGTTACCATACTTATTGAGACAGACAAGAGAGGAAATAAAAATAGAGCAAAGTTTCCTATGGTAGCTATATGCTGCCACAGAAAGAGAATCTGAGGATGCACAAAGTACTAAAGTGCATTGTGCTGAATCAAGGGTGATTTACAGAGAACTACAGTTCATAGATTGTGGTAAATACTTACATCTGACAATGACAGTGAAACTCCCAGTATCACTGCTCATGGCGTTGGTGGCATTGAGGGTGTAGATCCCGGCATCGTCGAGGGAGACAGAGGGAAGACTCAGACCAGATTTAGAGAGAGTGAGGTCGACACGGGCTCCATCACGAGTCCAGGTCAACGTAGGCTCGGGCCAACCATCCACTGTAATGGATACGTTGAGGGTTGCTCCTGCTATTACTGTGAATTCCGTCTCACCACCGATGGTGATATCTGGAGCGTCTGTAACGCCAGAGAAAGGGGAGATGTTTAGAGCAGGAAAGACAGAGCGAGGTGGTAAAAGACAGTAATTAAAGGGGCAGAGAGACTAAAGAGAACAACTCACGGTTGACAAAGAGAAAGACAGAGCGAGGTGGTAGAGACAGAGCGAGGTGGTAAAGACAGTAATTAAAGGGGCAGAGAGACTAAAGAGAACAACTCACGGTTGACAAAGAGAATGGCGGTGTTGGATTCAAAGGAACCAATCTGGCAGAAAAACTCTCTGCGATGGTCGTTTTCAAGAATCGGATTGATCCAGGTGAAGACGCGCATACGAGTCACATTTCCAGTGTCATTATTAGAAATGTCAGTGACTCTGATACGTGAGTCGTCGTTTTGGATTGACTGTGACTGGCTGGCGCCAGGGTTTCTGGTATTGAGGAGGGCGGGGGCCTCCTCCAGCAGTGGGGAGCATGTAAAGTTGGCCTCTTCCCCTTCATTGACACTCAGCATGTTCGGAGTGAGCGACACATCAGGTATATTGTCTACAGCAGTGTGTGTTAATGTTAATGTAGGAGAGGATGCATTAGAGCAACTGTTGTCTCAGATGGCAAAACATGTTTGCTATTACTGTGACCTACCCAAAGTCGTTAGAACCAAGACGTTAAAGAGGTTTGTACACTCAGTTAGCTAAATTTACACATGGGTATATAGCAACTAGAAAGGATGCAGTGAAAGCAGTCCAAGTGAAAGCACAGGAAATCTAGAGAGACAGCTGTGCCAGACCATCCTCAATATTATTCAAAGAGCACGCCACTACATTCAGTGCATCATGTGACTTCCTTGTTTACAAAATGTCTCTGACATAGTATGCAATATTTTTACTACAACCCCTTGGCTAGAATTACGTGTGCAGGGGCATAGAGATCTTGAAAGACAGACATGCCAGGGCAAACATTATGTCCGCCATCTTGTACCCCGATAGCCAAGTTTTCAACAACCACAAATGAACTGAAATATGACCAGAGCTGCACATTACATCATAGGGCACACCCAAGCCGTGAATAACATTATACATTGCCAGGGTGACCATGACGTGACACTTTGACACTTTCATAAATGGAAACACGACTGTACTTTGTTTAACTACTGCAAGTGGGAGCACTTCATTATAGATTCCGAGACGATGCCACTGCTACCAATATGGTGAACATGTGCATAAACAGAAGACCCTGTGAGCATACGACACCCATGACTCTATCACACCTCTCTCCCATCCCTCTCTGCTCTGGGGGAGAGGACCAATGAACAGTCTAGCTATAATGCTAAATCCCCAGGACTAGAGCTACAGGTGCTCCCTGACACAAGCTATTAGCCAACTTCAGCGCTTTAGATTGACCTTGAGCCATCAAATGGGTAACTAGCTAATCACAAAACCGTAGACAGTAAATAGCTAATGTCGTGGCACTACCGGCAGGGGACGTCCAGGGGTAATTACGCCACAGTATCGGTCCGCACACCGCGGTCTCCCGCCGTATGCACGACGGCCACGCCGGCCGGACCGCCACGCAACGTGCCCGTCGTTCGAGGTTGTAGACGACATGTACCAATCACAAATGGAGGAACCAGCTACGGAAAAGCCTATATTCAACGAAAGCTTCGGCCGCACGCGCTCCCGATCATTCAATACTCACCCTGACACTCCACAAAGACAGACAACGCCAGCGACAGCAATAAGATGGGTAGTCCTCTCATTCTGTATCACCTCGGACTCTCACTGGCGAGATCGACAAACATAACAACTTGCCGACTATTCTGCGCATGCGCCACATTCCTCGAAAGTTAAGTAGTAGACACATTCCTCAACCTACCCACCGCATAAAACAGAAGCTGTGCAATCTCGTTGCTGTACTTGGTAGCGACAATGGTCGTACCAGTTCCAGCTTTGGACGGCATTCCTCTGCTGTCAGTTTTGGCTGCAGAAACATGCTATAGCTAGAACCATGCAGCACATGCAATTCACAGACTAGCTACTCTACCTAAAGCCGGCAGAGTCAAGCTTAGCTAGCTGGCCTGAAGTGGAACACTCAGAGAAGTGAGATGGTGGCTGGTGTAGTGGTTCTGGGAGCCCTGGGCCTCCTATTCCTGGCCAGTCCAGTCAACTGTGAGTTGTTTTTTTATATTACCACAATCATTTTACCATCAGCATTGTAGCTAAGAGTCAGTATGATTTTGACACACTGCTCACTGATCCACAAAGCATTCATCATATTTCTAGGAGAACTCGTGCATAAGCCAACTGAAAGCCCGTAATTGCTAATGAGTGGAAATGTAATGATGATTCTATTCGCTCTCTTGCAGGCCAGATGATAGGCTTCGTAGAGAGGGACTATTCCCTGTTTGAGAACCAGAGTTCTGACAGTAGACCTGTTGAAATTTCGAAGGATCAAGTGGAAAACTTCGGAGACATCATAGTCGACCTGACTTATCTGACACTGGAGGAGTTTAGGATGAGACCTGAATTTCCACAAATTCAGAATGATTTCAACCTCGACGGATTGGACCCTGCTGAGAGTATGTACCTTCCATTATAATTCTGTGCCATAATCCTAAACAATTTTGTGCCATAATTATTGTAAACTTTTTGGTTCCCTACAGGATCAGACTCTCAACTACGTGATGACTTTACCCCTGGTGTTATGTCTGTGACAATTCCTCCTTCTCCTGGCTTTCGAATGGTCTCTTTTGAAACAGCAATCCTCTTTGACAATATTCATGAACTGGAAGAGGGATATGTCATTATGGCAGACTACAGCTATACCAATAGCGATGATTTAATGGCATTTGAAAATGCTGAAGAGGCTAGGAATAATTTTGCCATCATCCGTATTACGAATGATGATAGTAAGTTAACATTGATGATGAATCTTTTGATGTAGGTATGCACATTAATTTTAGTGAGCTTGACGATGCAGCAAAATATGTAGCAATGACAATGTATATACATTCTAACTATCCCTACTCCCCCAGTAACCTCTCCACACCACCCAATGAAACTCTTTAAATACTCTGCCCTGTAATTCATTTTCAGATATCGACTTTGGTTTTGAAATGAGTGCATACCCGCTCCCGGAAGACAGTGGAACTTCAGAAGTGATCTTTGGCAAACTGAATGCTGTAAATACTGAGGTTGTACTGACCTTGATGGTTATCTTTGCCAGCATTGACGCTGGTGTCCGGAGAGGTATACATACGTACATACTGAGTGCTAATTATACAGAAAAGGTGTGCAATAATGCCACCACTCTCTAACTTCCACATTCCGCATGTATACTGGAGGGCTTCCCAGTCAGGGCCATGGCTGGCGCAGCCTGACACTAATACCAATGATCATTCCTTTCTTGCTCTCTGCCACATACAGGCACTGGTAATGAGGATGATTTGACACTGAGCCCACCACCACCAGCAGTTTTCACATTCCAACCAGAGGAAACGAGCCAGTCTATCTCACTTACAATCAACGACGACATCATCTTAGAGTTAGAGGAGCGGTTTTCTCTGACTCTCTTCAAGAACGAAAGTATTCCGGGAGTCAACGTCGATCCTACCCTGGGAACGGCTGAAATAACTATTCTAGACAACGAATGTGAGTCAGGAATCTAAATGTACCATTCTGTGTTAAAGGTATTTGTTCCCACGTGCAGTTATAAGGTTTGGATTTGCAGAGACAGTGACTACTGTCTTAGAGGATGTGGGATTTGCATCGATTGGTCTCCGGATAACCGATATCCCCATCATTAGCAACGAGTATGGCAATACAGTCTTTGGGTACATACAACTGTTCAGCACTGTGGACACTGCTGACTCTGCAGTAGGTACGAGTGCACAGGCCCCTCTCATAGCTTCATAATTACAACTACATGTTTAATCCCCTCAGCTCTGGATGATTATGGAAGCGCTAGTGGTGTCATGGTTACTCTGACCAATATGGGAAATATCACGTTTTCCCTATCATCAGACACCGTAATGGTGATGATTGTAGACGATGATGTCATGGAGGATTCAGAGGAGTTATTTCTCAGTCTTGTTCCTGGATCATTTTCCGGGGACAGAAACATTGTCATCATTGATCCCGACACAGCACGTCTCATAATCAATAACGACGATGGTAAGCTTATTGAGAGAGATTAAAATAACCTCACACTGCGTGCTTCCTCTCTCTCCCAGAAACACCGTCGGTCGTTGGATTGGTGCAAGACTTGTACAACACCACTGAAGGAGATGGGTTTGTCGAAATCTGTGTCTCTGTTATCACTCCAGAGGACAGAGACCTCCTCTCTGTGGACTACCAGGCCAATCTCACATTCTCTCTTGAAGCTGTAACTGCAGATGGTAGCTTTTATTCCCCTTTCAATGAGTGCTATGTGTATAAACCCCAATGATCTTTTTTTAAAATATAGCTGATGTGGATTTTGGGAGTTTCACCCAAGAGTTCACGCTCACTCGTAATGCTCCTGAACAGTGTTTCAATGTCACCATTGTGGATGACAGCATTCTGGAGATACAGGAGTACTTCAGGGCCAGCATTACTGCCGTGGGAGAGCTTCCCCAGGAGGCTGCTCTCGGCATAACTGAGGCTCGCGTCAACATCATTGATAATGAGAGTGAGCTCAATCTGGGTAGTGTGGAATTTGATATCTTTACTTCTCCCTCTCTACTTTACTTTACCCCCTCTCTCTCTCACCTCTCTCACTCCCCACTTCCTTCTCCTCCCCCCTCTTTTCTTTCATTCTCTCCCTTCTCCCCCAGTTGCTAGAGTTGGGTTCATGCCAGAGAGTGTCATCGTGACAGAGGGAGTCGACAACTTTGCTCTTGTTACTGTACGGTTCATCAGTCCAAGTGACATTTCCAGCGATGTCTTCACTCAGCTCTCTGTGTTTACAGTCAGTGGCTCTGCAACAGGTCAATACACATAAAGACATGAAGATTTTCACCAAAGTGGAGGTGTAACAAGTTTTGTTTGTGTTTTTTCACCCTGCAGCGGGCAGTGACTATGAAGAGGTGGATACGACAGTCATCCTGCAGGGAGGCGGAATGGAGTCACAGCAAATCATGGTCATGATTCTGAACGACTTTGTAGTCGAAGACAACGAGACATTGAGTCTGATGTTCACGGTCGACAACGACTCTGGAAACATAGGATCCTATGATCCAGCAGTCGCCACTATCACTATCCTGGATTTTGACGGTAGGGGCATACCCACTAAATGAAGTGCATACTCGTGTGTTGACACGGCTCCATCGTCCCTTCTGTAGTTCCTACTGACGTCGTGGTTGGTTTCGAGAGAGACCTCTACACAGTGGATGAGGACGGAGGTCAAGTTGAGATATGTGCTGCCATCCTCGACCCCGGCACCTTGCAGCGGCTCTCCTCGGCAGACCTGATGGCCCTTGACTCCAACAACTTTGAAATCAGCCTCAACTTCTCACTCGCAGATATCTCAGCCTCAGGTTAAAAATACTTTTCCTTTGTTTCTCTACTGCACATCTGTAAAAAAACTCTTCCTTTTCTTGCCGATACTGCACATCTGTAAACCGTTTTCCCTTCGTTTCTCTGATTCTGCGCACCAGTAAAAACTTTCCTTTGTTCTCCGAGACTGCATATCTGTAAAAAAAAAAATTTTCATTTGTTTTTCTGGTATTACACATCTGTATGTTTCCTTCTTGCAGTGGACTTGGATTACACCGACCTGTTCATGTCGTTCTCCCTGAGTCCTTCCACTCCGTTCATGTGTTTCAGTGTGTCCATCACCAATGATGCCGTCTTTGAGCTGACAGAGTACTTCCGTGCTTCTCTCGATCTCGTTGGGTCACTTCCGGCTGGGGCGTCCCTTGGGATTACAGACGCACGTGTTCGAATAATCGACAATGAAGGTTAGCAGGGCAATACATAAGGGCTAAACGAAAGTTAGAACTAAACAATAGGACTCAGTGCAGGAATGCAAGTAAGTTTTATTTTCAGTATATATATTATATACTGCCACATTCACTTCAATAATTATCATTCTTTTTCACAGTGGCAGTGATTGGTTTCAGAGAAGAGTTTTTCAGTGTCAATGAGTCTGTGGGGCCAGTAAAGCTATACGTGGAGTTCATCTCACCTAATGAAATCTCCAGCGACATTGAAGTCAACATTACAATTTTCACTGTGGACAATAGTGCATTTGGTAAGCAATGAACACAACTGCTGCAACAAACCTACACCTGAGGCGTTTGTATATACTCGAGCTCACTGCGGTTTATTTAATGGCAGGTGGGAGTGATTTTGACGAAGAGGACCAGACGTTTACCCTGATTGGTGGGCTGTCTGAGGTGTACGACATTGACGTGGTCATTATCGACGACAGTGAACCAGAGAGACCAGAGAGTGAAGAATTCAATGTCCAGCTCACCTCCACCAGTCCTCTCATTGACGAACAGCGGCTCACTATTCAGCCCAACACTGCTGTTGTCATCATTATCGACAATGATGGTAAATTCCGCAGCTTCACTGTATATACCTTATCCTAATGCATGAAACCTGTGGTGTTAGCACTTGAGATATTATTACTGGAAAAGTACAACGGGTGAGCTGATTCCTTTAGCCTCTATGGACAAACATCATTAGATCACTCATTACTTACCATACCTCTGTCTCCACGCACACACACACATACACTGCAGACTTTGTGCCGGTTGTGGTAGGGTTTGAGAGGCCATCGTACAATGTGACGGAGGGAGGCGGGGTGGTCGAGGTGTGTGTGGCGATTATCACCCCAGAAGATCCTGCAACCCTCAACAGTGGCTACAATGCAGTCCTTAACTTGACAACAGCCGATGACACGGCTATTGGTAAAGGGCAACACGTCTGCTACTGCATTCACTGCTTATTTTCACTCTCTCTCTCTATCTCTCTTGCTCCCAGCTGGTGAGGACTATGAAGGGCTCCCTGGTGTAATAGTTTCCCTCAATCAAACATCTCCAAGAATGTGTTTCAACATATCCATTCTCGATGACAATATCCTGGAAACTCCGGAGGATTTTCTTGGGGAACTGGCACTCCTGGGCCCAGTTCCTCCTGCCACCACCCTGGGGACTGCACAGACTACAGTTACCATCTTTGACAATGATTGTAAGCCTGTAGCAACGAGGGCTCTGGTTTATATATGAGGTGCTTTCTCTGGTATATTATAGCTGGAGTCATAGGGTTTGAGAGTGATAACGTGGTTGTGTTTGAATCGGATGGATTCGCAATGCTGACCATCTCATTCCTGAGTCCAGTGATGGTGTCTCCCAGTGTCCAGGTTGAAATCTCACTCATCACTGCCGACAACACTGCTTTTGGTATGTAACAAACAACATAATTATTAGTACCTCCAAACCTGATTACTGCACTTTTATCATAATTGTCAGATGGTGTCGACTACAATGGATTGACTATGGATTTCACTCTGTCACTGACCGAGAATTCTTTTGTGGCAAATGTTCCGATAATCAATGATAACATGCAGGAGATCCCTGCCAGTGAGAACCTGACAGCCATGCTGACATTAGTCTCGGCCAACGTCGCTGTGACTCTCGATCCTGACACTGCATACGTCACTATCCTGGATGATGACAGTAGGAAAACAAAACTCTCTCACACACAGATTCATACATACAAACCCCTTCCCCAACAGATGTGACAGTGATAGGGTTCGATCCGGACACATTCACCGTCACGGAAGACGCGGGAATGGTCGAGATCTGCGCAACCGTTTTGGACCCTTCAGATCCCTCTCTCCTCGACCCTTCCTTCATGGCATCGGTCCAGTTCTCTCTTGAAGATGGGAATGCCACGGGTAACACCAAAACAAAACAAAAGGAACTTTTCTCATTAACTCTTCCTATTTTTCCTCATCTGTAATATAGCTCCAAGTGACTATATGAGTGTGGGTGTAGTTCTGCAGTTTACGGCCACAGTCACAACTCAGTGTGTCAATGTCACCATTGTTGATGATGAAGATGGGGAGGGCCTTGAATATTTCATGGCGAGACTGGCACCAGATGGATCCCTCCCTCCTGGTGTGGCACTCGCACCTGCCATGGCGTCAGTGTCCATTCTGGACAATGAAGGTAATAGATTTCTCTTTCTCCCACAATTATTCGGTACCAAAAGAGTAAAGCGTTTAATAGCACCTATTATTATTGTCTGCAGTTCCATCAGTGATTGGGTTTGAGGAGCGTTCGTACACTGTCGGAGAAGGAGACGGATTTGCACAGATCTGCGTGGCCATCCAGTCACCGGCTGATCTAGCCACCCTGCCCAGTTCTTACTCTGCTCCAATCAACATCTCCACTGTGCCTGGCAGTGCTCAGTGTAGGCCACCAATAAAAAGGACTTACAGGATAATCCCGATTGCTATTTTGTTGTTCTTTTTCCAGTCCAAGATGACTTCTTTTTTCAATTTGGGTCATTTGTTCTGACTCCATCTCAGCCGAGAGCATGTATTAATGTACCAATTGAGGATGACATTGTCCTTGAAGCTGACGAGTCATTTTCTGGGACAGTGGTGGGAGACCTGCCACCCACTGCATCGTTCAACTTTAATTTCACCACTGTCATCATCCGTGACAATGAGAGTGAGTTAAAACTGCCATCCATTTTTCTTGGATCCGAGACTGCAACTTCCCTAATCTACAAATCAGGCATTTATTACTGGGTGGATTGTCGAATTGCTAGATACTCTGCAAACATGCATGGTTACTCCAGCTCAAGTAATTTGGATAAATGTGACGTAGCTTTTCGCAGTTATGATGGAATGTATTATATGTATTGATTGGGATTTGCAGATGGTGTCATTGGTATACTGAACCGGTCACTTGCCGTGAGAGAAGATGTTGGAACTGCGACAGTCTACGTAGGGTTCACACAACCAGAAGAGATCTCGAGTGACATCATTGTAAATATTACGTTTTTCACCGAGGATAGCAGCGCAAGAGGCAAGACACACACACACACACACACACATACACTTGCCAGATTTACACCTTTGACTGATGGATATTCTCCCCGCAGCTGGTCTGGACTATGTGGGCGTCCGGGAGTCGTTTATTCTTCAACGAGGACAAGAAATTCAGGGTGTGCCGGTGACAATCATACAAGATGATGAGTCGGAGAATTTCGAGGCGTTCCAGACCAACATTGAGGCAGGTAGCCCCCTCCCGGCAAGAATCTCCCTCAATCCTGCACAGGGAAGCATCAGTATTGAAGACGTGCCCTTCGTTCCAACCCGTACTGTTGACACTCGGTCTCCAACAATGAGCCCTTCACGTATGTTTCACCCTTACTATATAACAACAAAATTAATATCTCAACAACTGCTCCTTTTCCCTACAGCTTCTACTACTCCTGGAGATGGTGGACCTGGGGGTAAAAATGCATACACATTTAGCATTGCATTTAGCTTGTGTACAACTGCAGCATGCATTTTCCACACTGTGGGAAACGATATAGAGGTAACTAGAATGATTACTTTTATTACAACACTCGTGTTATGTTTTTCAGGTATGGGAGGAGACCCTCACTACAGCATCATGCTCCCGTCTGGCCAGCTCCTCTGTTTCTCCGTTCACGGAGAAAAGAACTTCCCCTTCAACCTCATCAGCAACAGCCTCCTCCAGATGAACGCCTTCTTCATAGAGGATGCCCGGCGAGAGGAGATCACCTGGATTGGCTCCCTGGGAGTGGTGGTGCAGCACGCCGCCTACAAGAAGTCCAACACCACCAAGATGAGGTTGACGCCAAAGGAACAGACCATCTACATCAACAACGGAGTCAGTCTGCTGGCAAAGAGGGTGGAGAGACTAACTCTCGCCAACGGGAAGCTCACCATCACCGAGGGACTGAGGCGGAGAGGAGACAGGAAGCCTGAAGTTGAGGTCGATCTGGTTGACGTAGGCTCCACTTTACTGTACGATTTGTCAAGAAACGCCATCTTGACATGATCTGGAACAGAGTCAACTTGCAACCATCCGACTCCCATGGAATCATTGGTAAGCATTAACCTCCATCCCGAGGAATTCCCAGTTACACTACTGTGTTGTTCAACAGGGCAGTTCTTTCGTAAAGGTGTGGAGATAGACAAAGTACGCAAGCTGCTCTACCTCCCCAACATGGACCCAGTGCCAGTGATGCGCAGCTCTGTGTGGCACTTTATGGAGAGAGAGAGTCCAGACCCACGTGACCAGAAGTTCTGCTGGCAGGCCATGAACCCTGGCTACCAGGGAAAGATGCTCATTGAGGGCTCCTATCTAGATTACCTGGTGGATGATGTTCTCACTCCTGATTTCATGTTTGATGCCAAACCAACCGAGCTCTAGAGAGCTCTAGATATAGCGTGTATACCATCATTTTATTCTATCTTGACAGTTTATCATTATTACTCCATTTTGTGCTATTTTTAACTCACACAGTAGATTATTTTTAGCAAGACAACCCATATTAATTTTAATTCTACTGCGTCACGCCGCGCGTAACGATGCGTCACACGAGAGGCAGAGAGATTGCTAGCTAGCTCTATAACGCCCCCGTGCGGTATAGGTAAAGGCGAGCAGGGTAAAGAATATCACTCTTCAAGTTTGGCGTTGGAGCTAAAGGGAGGTCGAAGCAGACGGGAAAATACTTGGTTGAAGCTGCAGCGAAATCTGCGAAGGTGAGCCACTACCGTATGTACTACGCTTGCGGTCGTTTTTTCCGGTGTAAACATTACGCAATAGATACTGGGGGTTTAGAAAACACAAGCAATTTACGGGAAGATTTATAACGAAGGAGCCTCTTTTCACCACCATTATACTTTATAGCTACGTCGACATTGCTGTGCATTGACGTTGGCCAAGGGCGTAACTCAACAAAAGTATAATACGAGTTTCATTAGCTTCACGGAAAGCTGTAGTATAGCTAGCTGCTACTAAAGTCAGCTATATCTCACTGAACATTGAAAAAAGCTGCTTGCTGTATATAGCTCAGTAGCTATATAACAGTTATAGCTGGCAGTGGTCACCCCCACATTCCTGCTCCACACAGTATGGCCATATTATTATACTCGACACCAATTATATTATGTGTGCATGCAGGTTGGGTTCACTTGGCAATTGAATGATGTTAAAAACCACAATAGATAATGCTCCAGGAGCTAATCTCTGTGGTATATAAAATTTTTTAACTACAACAAACAATGTGGTAGCAAGCTTGAGTAGGTATATACACATTCGAATCTGTAATTTGAATTTCGAACATGCGTTTTGTGTGCAAACTATAGTGTAACTTAGGGAAATTCCGCTGCAGTTTTTCTGGCAGAGTGTTTACTTCTGTGCTAGTGAACCACTCTCAACACCTGCACACAAAATTCTTACTACAATCCTCCACAGCCTGTTGGTTGAGTTATTCATGTGTGTGTGTGTGTAGCCTAACTGTCCCACGAGCCGCCCATTCTTGTCCCCATGACACCTTTCTGTCGGAATGAATACCGCAATCCTCTCTGGCCATGAATATACTTAGCAAGTGACACAGTATACACCGCAGACAGTGGGATCTAGTGGTTGAGAAATTGGGTTCCCAATATGTTGAACTATGCCTGCATACATGTACATGGGTGGGGTGGGGTGGCCAATGCTACACTACACAGAGAGTGTACGGCTAACTAGCTAATTGCAGTGTGTTCCATCCACAAGCTATGTAATGCTCCATCGAGTACCAATTCCTCTGCACAAGTGGTCCTTGTAGTGTCCTATTTCATGGGTGACCATTCAGTGTACCAGTGATATAGTCCTATTCTGGTGCTGCCCTGTTTTCCAAACAAGAATATGAATCCAGTTGGTACAAGAACACACTTAGCTAGCTACATGGAGGTGTGTGCAGGAATAAACAAAATTCATTGGAGTTTAAGTCCTGCAGTACACACCAGCGTTCATCTCAATAAATATTTATACTTGCGACTTAGGTGTATCCACAGCCAGGAGCTCACCAACAATGACTCTACTACAGTTGTTACTCTCTCTTGGCCTAGTCCACCTACTGCTCCCGAATGTACAAGGTATGATGACCAAATTATGCTCACACTTGCCTTGTTTATGGGTGGGCTTCTAGCCACGTATGAAAGCTCATGGCTGCACTACTACAAAGCCATTAGACTGTCACCGAATACTGATGTCGGTGGAATTCTTCAATTCCTTTTCAATTCGTTTACCTGCAGCGTTCACGGTTGAGATTACCCAGGCCGACATACCTGGGCTTGAGGGGAGCCAGTTACAAGTCACCGTCAGACTGGAGGGACAGACATTTGGTGAAGTGGATGTGGAACTTCAGCTCCTGACACTCTCTGAGTTTCAGTCCAGACCAGAGGCACCACAAGGGTACACACTCTCCAAAGACCTGGCAGAATGTAAGGTAGCAGTGTTGTCTAGAACATGTCAACATACAGGTTTTTGTCTCATGTGCAGCTAATGACTTTAGCTACGATGGAGATCTCCAGCACACTTTCCTTGCTGTGTCGGCAGTACGACAGGTCGTAGACTTTGACATTGACATAGTTGACGATTCCATCAATGAAAAGGAAGAGCAGTTCATTGCCCTGGTTGGAGTCAATAGAGTAGCAAACGCAGAGGAGGATTTCTATTATCCTGAGGACAGTGAAAGACTCTTTGCAACAGTGACAATAGGGATTGATCCCGATAATCCAGACAGTCAGTCCCTCTCTCGTTTGCTTGCCTATTTCTACCTCTTGTCTCCTTTCCCTTCCTTGTTTATTAACCAGTACGTGCCTTCCATTTCCTCTCACCTTTTCCTCTTCCTTTGTCCCTCCCTCCAGAGACCAGCCTGATGATCACCGCACCATCAGCAACAGTATCAGAGGGTACTACTGGTTGGTACCTCTCCCTAAAGATAATAGCATACCCTCCAGAGTATGACATTGAAGTCCGTGTGGATGCTGGAGGGACCTCCACTAACCCTGCCATGGCAGGTGTGCACTATATAGCGTACACTTGGTCATTGAAAAAAAGTTTTGAGCAGACGTGTCTTGCTCTGTAGGAGTTGACTACAATCTCCCAGAGACCTCGGTGACCCTAACACCAGGTACACTGGAGTATAGTGTGAGTGTGGAGATTGTGAATGACGGAGTTCCTGAGCCGATAAGTGAAAGCCTTCTGGTGACGTTCAGTGTGGTGGAGGAGACAGTAGTTTTCAATCCAAATGCCTTTGTCACCATTGCCATTGAGGATAATGACAGTAAGGAGGAGTGTTGTCTTCTTGATGCCATACTAAAGGGAATAGCACAAGGGCCATTGGCCACACACCCAAACTATAGGCAGAGCTAGAACCATACAAGACCTAGTTAACGGTGGTGCCTGCCTTACCAAACAGACACCTAAACTTACTCAGCCTCATGGCAACCCCTCGTAGGTCTCTGGGTACACCACTCTGCATGAGATGGGGATAGTTCAACGCTTAGGGTTATCGCTCTATAATGCCCAAATACTCAAAAAGAAAAAAATCAATGTGAAAAATAAACTTCAATTATACTATTCTGTGAGTCATGCTATAGTGACCATGCACTGTGTCTGTTGCGGTGTTTTGCCATTCCAGGACTCAGTATGGGGTTCTCGTCAAGTCAGCTGGAGATCAGAGAGGGAGAATCAGCCGTAGCAAGATTCTTCATCATGTCTCCTCCCACAATTGACGTGTCTCTCGGTGGGTCATTGGCCCATGCCGGTGGGCAGAGAACTACCGCTGATGGTGAGATACGGTGTCTCAGGCACCCCACTACCCACACGTGTGTAGACCGCACACACACACACACACACACACACACAAAATTCTAGCAGGGTTTCATTTGTCTGCTAGCTACCGGTAGTCATGAATAATGATAGGAATGCATTTCTTCAGTATTATGTGTGTGCTATGATCAGAATGTATTGATACCAAGGAAGCTAGGTATCGAATTCCTTGTAGTGCCCCACCCTTACATACCTATGCTTAACTATTGTCATAATATTTGCATGTCTTTGTCTTTGGCACAGGTACTGAGATCCCTAGTCCGCAGTCATTCTCTCTGTCTCAAACAAACAGAGGGTACGAGTTCACCATCACCATCCCTCCGAATGACATTATTACCGCCAAAGAACGAGAGTTTACTCTCACAGTCCAAGATATCGAGTCCACGAGTAACCTCTACGACGTGTCCCCCATGTATCTCAGAGTCACCATTAAAGACAACGACACGAGTTAGTGACAGTTATATATATACACATGAAATGGAACTTCATAATTCTCATGTGACTATAGATATCGATATTGGAATCAGAGATGTGAGTCCAGACCAACGACGGCGGGTCAGGGAAGGAGAGAGCTTTACATTCACTGTTGGTTTTCTTGACGACCGCGTTGAACTCGATGATGACTTTGTTCTGGGTTACTCTCTCAAACTCTCCAGCAACAATGGCGCAGGTATAAGTACGTACGAGTGTATCGGAATTCACTTATAATGTGTTCTGTTTGTGCAGATGTGGCGACAAATTTCGTGACTACTGAGGTATCCGATGGAGTTCTGACAAATGCCATGCGCAGCAGAGACATACTGATTGAAACAAAGTCCAATGAGGAGGTTGAGGAGGAGAGCAGAGAGTTTCTCATTAACATGGAACTCATAACCGACTTCCACCCTCCGTCACTGGTGAAGTTTCGAGCAGGATCGGAATTCATGGAAGTCACTATTGAAGACGATGACATCAGTGAGTTTCCTTACTAACTGCACCCAATATCGTCAAATGTACACTGTATATATATCCGTAGACCCACCCATAAAGCCCATGGTTAATACGGTCGTAGTGGTTGATGTGGAGGACGGAAAAGGATTTGAGATTAGCTGGACCAATAATTCCTCGCTAGTCCAGCCAGTGGACACGTATAGGGTCGATATCACATTCCCGGCTCAGGAAGAACCACTGAGTTCAACACATCAACAACTGTGGATTCCAAAATCACCTTCCTAACTGTGCCCTACAAGCAGAATGGAGAGGACTACTCAAACGCAAATATAACGGTCGTCGTATGTGCCGTTAACAGTGTCGGTGAGACTTGCTCGGAGGAAGTGTACCACAAGGGGATCGAGAGGGGAGGCACCAGTCGAGAGGGGGGAAGAGGGGTATCTGGTGGCGGTGTTGCAGCTATCGTTATAGTCCTTCTCCTCCTCCTATGTATTGGAATCTTTCTCCTTCTCCTCCTCTTCTTCCTCTGCCGTCTCTACTGTTGGAAGTCCTACTATCCCCCCATTAGAGGTTAGTGGTAGTAGACATTCATGTGACAGGAATAAGTTACCTCTCCCTCTCGATCTGTAGAGAGGAAGAACAGAGAAGAGTTTCATAATGTGTAAGTCTCTATTGAGCTCTTGTAACCTTAGTTGCATGCGCCTTTTCCCTTCACAGGTATGAAGTTGATGCTTGACCCCAACACACGAGAACACACATTTTTAACACATAGTGTATACATAGCTTCAGCACCAGCGCTATATTTCATTGTAGATTTTTAAAAATATTTTTATGCCATTTTGCATCATGTAATGGGACGCAACACATTTCGCGCATGCGCATAGTTACGTAACCGCCGCCGATATCTCGCGGGGTAGAAAAGGCGGCGGATGCAGCGATTTGTCGGATGCCTTTCTCGGTGGAGAGCGAGTCAACAATGATTACCAAAGCGTTTTTACTCTATTCTTCTACATACCATTCACAGTCATCACGGAAACGTACGGTAAGGGATTTTAGCGCACGGTGTCCGAGTAAACGTTCGTTGCTGCACTCTCCATCCGCTAGCTCTGAGGGTGTCGTTCACGGAATCCGACTCTTCCGTGAGCGAGAGCGACGGGAGTGCGACTGTGAAGGTCACGAAGTCTGGACTCAGTCGCGGGGATGTTCTGTGCACGCTGATACCACTGTCGCTGGACGAGGCGAGAGTCCAGTTTGGCTACGACCGGACCGGCAGCTCCGACGACCCTGCAGAGATAGGTAAATTAGCATCCCACGTGAAAATTTGGATGACCATGTATAGCCAGCAGCAACCGTTCCCCTTATAAACTTTTAAGTGGTTGGCTGGGACCCTCCATCCTTGAATCCTAGCTATGTGCGATGGGTGCCAATTCTCACAGAGATATTATGCTGCTTCAGCTGATCTGTGGTATATGATTGACCAGTATTATCACGTGCCGCATCTGCAGACATGGACTTCAGTCCAGCTCTGGTGGAGCACATCTTTGAACCTGGGCGAAACTACAATAGACGAAACTCTCGGTATCAAAGTGGTGGACGATGCAGTCTATGAGCTAGAAGAACTGCTGGTGGTGAGACTCAACGTGAGTGTGAGCGACCCTCAGGACGAGGCAGAGCTGGAGATTGGGACACAGTACCTGGAGCTGAGAATCTTAGCTGACTCCAGAGATGGTAAATAATGACACACACACACACACACACACACACACACACCTGGCCACCTGTACTGCATGCACCATAGTATTCTGGTGAAGAAAGCCACACACAGCAGTAGGGTGCAGAATTTCAGTAGCTATTATTATATACACCTACAATTTGAACTGAACAGCTCAGTTTTCGCTGCGAAACAGTCTCACATTGCTGAGCTATTATGCTAGAATGGAATTCTGCGAAAATGTAGCTGATATTTACTCCTCGATTCCCTTCGTCAAAATACCATTAACACAGGCTTCTAACAAGAAACAGTGATTCTCATGCTAACAGCCGAGAAATCATATGAGCACCATCAACACCACATTTCTTGGTATTTCAGATATACGCTTGCCAGGTAACATCATATCAAGGGTCTATTAAGCATAGGAATTCAATGTGCATCAACACCACAGGGCTTTTGTGTGTGAAATGTCATTTGATTCCATGCCCATCACAGAACCCATACTGAGGGAAGAGAGCAAGGCACTGGCAGAGGGCGATGGACTGGTGGAAGATTTCTTTGTTGTCACGAAGGTGACAGAGTCTGAGCTGCCAATTTCGTTTGCCATTAAAGTCCTGGGGGAAACTGCACAGATAGGTAGGTTTTATCATTAACTGTGTATATTATGATGATAGCTAGCTGCTATAAACCCTTTTTTTCTATCAGGAGTTGACTATGAACTGGAACTCAGAGAGTACACGATTTACCCGAACCAATCCAACGTAACAATTCCCCTGACTGTGTTGGACGATGACATCGCTGAGGAAACAGAGTCCTTCACCCTTATTCTTCTGCTGCCACAGACAAGAGCTACTCTCATTAACATTAGAGACAATGACAGTGAGTGAGCCGGCTAGAAATGAACCAGCTCTTCTTTTTTACAAAGAGTTGTTCTGGGTGTAGTTGACCTGTTTGAATTGCCTTTGCTTCGCAGCCTTGTTGATGTTTGCATATAATTCTTCATTTTGGCTGTTTCGTTAGTTGTGATAGTGAAAGTTGGAAACAGCTCAGAGATTGACATAGAGGAAGGAGAGAGCGCCACACTATGTGCCGAAATAGTGTCTCCAGCGGAAGTTGACAGAGAGGCAAACACTCTGGGGGCACTGATGGGTGGATCAGCTACAGGTTAGCTGCCGTTTAATCCAACAACAGATACCATACTGCGATAGCATGGTTTCAGACAGAAGTTCAATGTTTATCTTCTTCATTCCTTTTCTGGTAAACAACAACAGCAGGGACTGACTTTGTGGCCGGATTTCTTGCGTACGAGCTCAACGGAGACAGCCGCAGAGTCTGTCAAGTGGTGCAGACCGTAGAAGATGAGATTCCAGAACCAAATGAATTCTTCTCTACCTCGCTTTTCCACTTTGACAATGACCCTCTGGTGAGGGTGGAACCTAGTACTATTACCTTCAATGTGACTGATGATGACGGTAAGTGTAAAATGAATGCAGGAGGCAAGGAGTAAATCTCTCTTTTCTATCTCTGCTGTCCAACGGTGTTTTTTCAGTTCCAGAGTTGGAGGTGACACTGCCTGGTAATGACCAGACTGCTCTGAGTGTGGTAGAAGGGGAAAACCTCACAATCAATGTCTCTGTCCCCGCACCAAACCTCATTGATGTCCAGATATCAGTCACAGTCTCTCCTGACACTGCTGAGAAAGGTATTCGTATTGAAGAACGTTAACAATGAGCAAATGCACTTCCCACCTCTCATTTACTCAGATGCAGACTTTGTGATAAGTGTGGGGATCTTCACTCTGAGTCCCGGGACTTCGTTTCTGGAGCTGCCACTCTCCATACCTGATGACTTGTTTGTGGAGAACGATGAGCACTGGACTCTGATCATCTCTCACTCCACTACCCCACCTCACGTCGTTCCCGTTACCATCATTGACAATGACCGTATGCCCACTCTCTTTTCCTTTCCCTCTCTCTCTGTCTTGAATGCACCCCATACCTCTCCTTCTCTTACGTCAGCGTGTAGCTATCATCACATTGTTAGTGCGTATGTTAGCCATTTCTCCTTCTGTTTTCAGCTGTGACTGTGGGGTTTGTCAACGACAGTAGGGTGACAGTGGGAGAGGTGAGGAGGTGAAGGTGTGTGGAAAGATGGCTGATGCTACTCCAAGCCTCCTCCAGAGAGATATAACTCTCGAGGGAACCACTGTCTCTGGAACTGCCATAGGTTTGATAACAGCAAACAACAATCACGTGTAGCTATGTCTGTTTATTCTTACAGAGAATTCTGATTTCATTCCTCTCACGTGGAACTTCACCTTTTCCTCCTCCTCCCCCGCCCTACTCTGCATTATTGTGACTACCATCGATGACTCTATTGGCGAAATCCCCGAGGAGTTTTCACTTGTTGTAACGCTGGCCACTGAGCCTGAGCCACTCATTTCAGTGGACCCTTCAACCATTAGAATCCTCATCACCAATGATGACAGTAAGTTATTCAATGCAGTATGAACCCGAGCTGTTCACACAAAGCTATTAATTGTGTCAATCGCTTATATACAACTTTTCGTTCACCCAGTCCCAGAGTTGGAGGTAGAGTTGGCTGGAGGGCCAGCGCTTCCCAATGGCAGTGGAGATTTAAGAGCAGTTGTGAAGGAAGGGGACGGTGTGTTGGACAAGCTCATTAGGATCTATTCCCCCGGGGTCCACGTCATTGACCTGGTGTACCATGTTTCCATCACACCCTCCAGTGAGAGAGCTTGGCAAACAAATACCCACACTTTATTCACTGGTGGCAGCCACTAATGTCTTGTCATTAAAAAACACCACATTTAATCACAGCTGTTTGAGCCCCAAGCCTCTGATACACTAGAAGGATGTACCTAATACTTGTACGCATATAAAATGACCCAAGCCATGATGAGAAATGGTGGTAGCTAATATGTATGGATCTGCAGGTGCCGAGGATATCACAGTGACTGTGGGAACATTCTCTATTCCTCCGTCAATGAATGAAATGTTCCTGCCAGTGAGCATACTGGACGACAGTGTGGCAGAGGACGAGGAGGAGGTGTCTATTCTGATCAGATTTAACCCCGGGACCCCTCCGCAGACTGTCACTCTCATCATTCAAGACAACGACGGTAGGCAGGGGTAAACAGACACGGAGAAGAAAATCAGGACAATTTCTATCAGGCACCCCCCAATAGGACACCTCTATAGAGGCTAATCCATAGAGGCTTTTCAAGGAAATTCTGAGCAAATCAAGAGACTACACAGGCAAAGTAAGAGCTTGATCTTTCCAACACAGTGGTGGTAGTGAGTGGTACTGGTGGGGTGGTGGAAGAGGGAGGGGTGGCCACAGTCTGCTCCTGCATCATCTCCCCCAGAGCTGTGGACCGCACCATTGCTGTAATGGCAAAAACGGCCTCTCTCACTGCTACTGGTAAGTTCCTTGGACAGGACTTGATATTATGACTATCTCTCTCTCTCTGCTAACAGCTGATGTGGATTATACACCCGTTGTCATCATGAGACTGAGTCTGAACGGAACTCGCAGAACTGAGTGTTTCGAAATTCAGACCTTTGACAATGACGGACCCAACTATCCACTAGAGTTTAAGGTGCGGCTTGGGGTCAGTGGTCAAGCTAACATCCAACAGGAACGTGATTCAGTGACAGTGACAATAACTGATGATGATGGTAAGGAATCTGATTGGTGTGGTTAGCTTTATCTAAACTAAGGTGCCTGGTGAGCATTATGGGTGAGGTGGTACCTAGCATCATCATAACCCCTGATTATGCATATGTGAATGATATGGTTTTAGTTTCAAGGTGTATGCATGTGCAATAGCTACGGTGGAATGTAGCATCCTCATGGATTTATGACAGCAGTGTTATAGGAGGAAAAGGGAGAATTTGTGTGGTCAGCAATGAATCATTCTCTGGAAGGTTACCTGAGAAGGAATGCGTGAAGCTAAGTTGTAAAGAACCCCTCTAATGTTGCAACGTGATACCTGAATTGACTGTATGAGCTTAGTATTGCATTGTCTCATGACCGCAGAACAGTATGGCTTACAGCCTCTTGTTTTGCAGGTACTCCCCTTGCCCCTGTAATAACTGACATCAAATTGCTGGAGTCAGACAGAGATGATGGCCAGAGCAAGTCCTACAACTTGACCTTTTCCTGGAAGGTGACTCTTGATGAACTGAGACCAGTTGACTTTTTCACGGGGACACTCACGCTCCGTGGTGTCAGAGACACAAACTCTAGTAGTGATGGTGACGGGAAATCCAATTCAAAGTCTTACAACTTCACAGTAGACGGAAACACTACCACGGAGTATACTGTGGTGGGCGTGGAGCCGGCCTCAGAGTACACCGTGACAGTTTGTGCATGGAACAGTCGTGGATCAAACTGTAGTCTCCCGGGGACCCACTCATCCAAAGTGGGCGGAGTTAAGGAGGACGAAGAGGATGACGGACTCCCAGCTGGTGTGATAGTGTCCATCGTACTGCTGGTGGTGTTTGTCCTGGTCTGCTGCTGCCTCTGCTGTCTCTGTTTCTGTCTCTTCTGCTGCAAATTCAAACTCAGCGACTGGATCTCCTATCGCCCTGAGAAAAGAGGTTAGCTCTCCCTACACTGACTAGCCACACATGAATAGCTACGACTAATCCCTTTCTTTTTGGTGCAGAAAAGAAATATGCAGCAGAGTATAAAAGGTACGGTGTATAAGCAACTGCTAGTTGGAGAAAGGAGTGTTGATTTCAATTTCGATTTATCTCTTTCTTTCTGCTGCAGCTACCGAGAGTGCCACACCTGGCAGGGAGGGTATAAGACCCAGAGGTATGCTATGTATAGTAGCATTCAGGGAAAGTATTATAGTGTTGAGTTTATTTTTCGTCTCTCATCTGTTGCATGCACAGCTATCACACCTGGCAGGGAGAGATTGACAGTGACTTTGACTCTGACCTTGGAGATGAAGTTTAGCATTACCAATGACCAAGTAGTATTAAGTTTTTAAACTCGTTTTTAATGCACATAAAAAATGCACACTGACTCTTTTTATTCCTGTGACAGTTTTTCTTAGCTGTATCATTACATCATGTGGCTTTGCATAACTGTGTCCAGCAAAAGTCGATCAGTTGGCATCTCATTATTCTTGCACACGCGGGGACAAAGCATATCTTGCATTATGTGGTCTCTTAATTAACATCAGTGTTGTGCCTGGCACAGACGTCGTCCAATGGCATGCATGTAGTGACATTAATGGCATGCATCCAGTATATTGGATGATGTCACTGCCAGGTACCGTTGGGGGTGAGGTACAACAACAGTGATTATGCAAGAGAGGTATGACATTACATCAAGTAACATCTGCTAGTGATGAGAGCTGCACTCGCATTCTGCACGCTAGAGTTTGTTGCCATGGTCCATCATGGGCCAGGCTAGTTCGATACACAACTGAAGTTAACAAGCACTGCTGATCCAGAGAGCCCAATGTGGAGTTATGGGACACAGCTACACCCTCTTGTACTCTGCTCTACTCATCCTTCACCTACTTCCCAACAGTTCTTCAGCACAGAGTAATACAATCTCTTGTAGTGTGTGGTCCCCAGTGGCTAGAGTTTTGACCGTTCAAACTTTGTGCAGATGTGTGTGTAGTTTGCTATGAGTCATCATCACTGGTGGAAGGAGAGTGTGCCCCTGCCAATCAGACCCCTGATGGATCCTACGTGGACTGTTGTGTCTTGCCTTCAGTAGACAGTACTGGCAGAAGCAATCACAGCTACCAACTGGACCAGCATCGGTGCTCTCTCTGTGGTACATTGATTGGTTACATAGCTATCTTTTACCACACCCCTCCGGCCTCTTTCTCCCTGTCCCTCTGTAAGCAATTTGGTCCTCCCAAGTCTCTCTCAATTCCCTCACTTCATCTTCTCTCAAATTCCCTGCTTCTTTCCTTCTTGACTCATTTCTCTTCTCTCTCCTCTTTCTCTCTCTCGTCCTCTCCCTCTCCCTCTCTCTCCACTAGGACCAGTTCTAGACGAGGCTCAATTTTTCCCAGTGGTATCATCCCAAGACAGCTCTACCATATTCATCCGATGGGCACTCCACCCTCGCTCCCTCCCTGCGACCAGCTACACCATGCTGGTAACAGACGGAGGGGGAAGGTTCACTAATGTCACCTTCTCCTCCGAAGAGCCTGCTGCTAGACATCAGTTCAGTCCAGTCACATTTGGTGATGTGTACACCATCTCTGTCATCGCTGTCAATGAGGTACTGAGGGTGTCCTCTCCTCCTATGACAGTCACATGGACAGCAGGAGAGGACATCCGTGAGTATATAAGAATAACTGTCTACAACACTCTGTTGAAGGGAGAGTGTATATTAGCATGAGAGGCACTTGGAAAAGCTTTGTACATGTTTTGTCTCCCGTTGTTCAGAACATGAGATTGTCTCTTCACTATGATGGCTTTAGCACTCTATAAGCCTAGAGAATTCTGTTCTACGACTGCCACATTGATCATTCTTGTCCCTCTCTCTTGTAGTTCCAATGTTTGCCAATTTCTCGACCTCCCTACTGTCCACTGACGGCTCACTGCTGGCCTCGTGGGCGGTGCTTACTCCAGGACTCCGCCCACTGATCCACCTCACCGTTCGTTGGGTGGAGCTGTCTGCCGTGGGGCCAGACGATGACCTCAATGACCCCACAAGCTCCGCCTTCCCTCTCACCAACATTGCCGTCATGGAGTACGACATCAAGACAAGAGTGGTGATGAAATATGACATCATCAGTGTCACCCTGAGAGGTCTGGCAGTGAATGAGACGTACGTCGTGGCTGTGACTGGCAGTAATGTCCTCCGCTCAAAAACCACTGTCTTTACCTTCACTACAGGTATAGTGCACAATACAGTAGCTAGAGCTAGAAACTGGCGTGATTCACAAAATTTGTGGATTACTTCACCCACTAGCCTAGTTCCGACAAAAACAAAACCATAAAGATAGATTATAGGCTGTGAATTTGAAACGTGTTCTGCCCTATATACATGTTTCTAGCACAATGTAGCTACCGTTAAGTCTTTCTATTCTTTCATCAGAAGCCAATGAAACCACCACCTCGGAGCCCCTCCCATCAGCTGGTGAACTGACTCACTCTCTTCCTCAACACCACCTGACTCTAACTCTCTTGTCATTAGCTTCACTCATCCACACTTCATTTCTTAGCTCCACTACTCCGTTCACTGATACATTATAGCTCACTAATTTAGAGATCACAATTTCATCAATTGAAAGTCTAACGGAAAAATTTTATCTCCAAGGTCGGGTAACCTATATATACTAAACGGACACATAACACACACCTTAACAGAAGCACACACACACACTCACACACTGTGCTATGTTCTCAGTTGTGACACGACCTGCGCAAGGTGGAAATAAAGAACAGATCAAAACCTCTTAGACTTCAAAACAACGTAATACAAATGTGAATGCATCAAGTCGTTGAAGCATACCTTGAAACATGCATTACACAGATAAGTTCCACTCCTACTAATTACATTCACATCATCGCGAGTGGGTATATATAATATATAGGACAGGGAAGATGATTACAACAACTCGTCACCTTGTTGGCAGACTCTAGTGAAGAAATGAGTCTCTCCAACTCTGGCTGGCTGAGTTCGATGCTCTCCAGTCTCCTCTGTCCGTTGTCCACGAGGTCAAGGTCGAGGTTCAACACAGGCCTCTGAATATCTCCCAGCTTATCACTGGACATCACCAGCTGAGGAGTGGGCAGTCACGTGATCAATTGTGTCTGATTGGCTAAAGGTCACATAACCAGAAAGAGAGTATTGATAAGGATAGCTAAAGATCACATGGCCGAAGCCATGTTATCAGTATGGATCAATTAAAGGTCACATGACTAGGGAGAAAGAACAGGGGCTGTGCAACTGCGTGTAAAGACTGGAGACCTTGAGTTTCCAGTCAAAGTCAGTGAGACTGGAGGGAGAGACTTTTGCACTCTCTCTGAGTAGCTGAGTCCGCAGTTCCTCACTCCTCACACTCACACACTCCCCCATCACCGAACAGACCTCCCCGTCCAACCCTGCTTCACACAGTCGCTCCACAATCTGGTGGGAAATGGGGCAGGGGACAAGTATTGCACAACAAGGTATGAACAGGGTACATGAAAAGATGACATTTTAACAATGGAGCATCTTAGACAAAACATGCTCACAGTACAACCTGTTCCCACATCCTAATACAGCACACTTGAAAAGAGATCACACAACGACATGGACCCACCTGTTGCTTGCTCCCTCCCTCTCTCCCTACTGCCTTCACCGCAGCCTCCACGCAGCGGACGAGCCTCGAGAAGTCGGCAAGACTCAGAGTCTTGGCGAACGTCTCGTAGCGCGGCCCCTGCTTCTCGCACACTCCGTCTATCACCCCGTGCACCAACTGAAACAACGGAGAAAGGAAACTCAAATCGAGAGACAATCGGCGGAGATCTGGTCCCTGCTTTAGAATCTCGAGTACCTTTTCCAAGTTTTCGCTGCTCAGCTTTCCCAGTACCTTCACTGCTCTCGCGTCTATCTGCTTCGCTCCTCGCGCTGCCATTTTCGACAAGCTGAGCCTCCCTTGGTGTGCTTTGTTTAGAGAAAAAGAGTGGGCGGGGCTGGGTCGCTAGGCAACAAGGAGACAAGTGGCGGTCTATTCTAAATAGAGCGCAGCTTATACAAGCCAGCTGAGAAAGAGAGGCGGAATCTGCAAAAGCGTGAAAGCTGTTGCGACTTGCAATCGAGTCTCCAGCAACGTCCACTGCGGTATAATGTCGGGAGACTCGAGAAAAGACTTTGTGCTCGCCACGATCGGAAACCACTTCGGTTTCTCCGTGAGCGACGGCGCCATGTCGCACATCTCGGACTCCTCCGAGCTCAACAGGTTCCTGGACGACGGCGGGTGCTCCGTGCTGGCCGCACACGCGGAGCTGGTGCAGGGCGTGCGACTCATCCAGAGCTACAACCACCTGGACGTGGAGACAGCAGCCACGGACAACTGGCTCGTGTTCTTCAAGCTGAGCCCGACCGTCATTACCCCGGACAACCTTCACTCCAACATCCTCGTCTCCTCTCTGCTGGATTCTCCACTGGACACTCTCTATCACACCCTCCAGAAGGTATATTCTCCAGTTCTACTGCGAGACGAGCGGTGGAGTCGCTCGGTGGACCCGAAGATACAGTCCCTGCTGGGAGACCTGGAGGCGGGGCTCGGCACCGCTCTCCGCAGGTTCGGAAAGATCGGGATCTCGGTCCCTCACACGACAGGCGAGGCCGACGAGTCCTCCCAACTGTCCACCATCCTCTGTCCATCGGATGAGTTCCAGTTCTGGGCAGAGGCTGCGCTGTCGGAGGCGAAGCTGGCCCAGCGAGAGAGGGGACAGCGATTCCAGGAACTGTTTCAGCCAGTCACAGCCAAGTTTGCTAATCTGGACTCCCTCTCATTCTCAGAGGCCTTGGAGCTGGTCGAAGTGTGTCAGGACACTCTGGACGATGTGTGGAAAGAGACTGAATTTGATCCTCCCTACCCTGAGAACAGAATGAAACATTTGCTGGAGGTGATCAGTGACTCGTTTGCAAGATTCGTGCAGCGCAAGTTGCACGGGTGTGATTTATGGATGGGCCAGTTCAGTCAGGTCAGGACGCGAGTCCAGGATGGGTTGATGGTGTGCGATAAATGGAGCTCTGCTGCGGAGGCTCTGACAGTGCAGTATTGGAAGCAGTACGCTCTGCACAGATGGAGAGGAGGAGCCTTTGTCTCTGGCTCTCTCTCACAGCTCACCCTGCGATTGGAAGAGGTAATTCTTCTAACAAAGATCGATTATTCTCCTCACTGACATAGGGTGCAATACCAAGCACGATGTAAAACCAGAGGAAATGCAGTTTAGAATTACTTACACTCATCTGTGATCCAGGTTCTGAGTTTGCGGTCGGTACACGAGCAACTCCTTCACCTCCTGTCACCCTCACAGCAACAGCAGCTCAACCTTACTGCCTCGTTCTCCCCTTTCACTGGTACCATACACCACCCCTTTGCCAGTACAATCATCTTATGATGACTATCTCTTTTCCGCAGGGCTGGACCCGCTGCAGTACAACCCCTACACTGAGCCACTGTGGAGAGCTGCAGTGGCTCAGTATGACAGAGGAATGGTGCCTGCAGAGTCCAGCATAGCCGGGAAACTGAGGAGCAGGTTCCACCAGCTGGAGGCTCAGCCACACCAGGTGACTTGGTGATACAGTGCCCTGGTGACTCTATCACACCAAACCTGCTGTTTGAGGCGGTTTCAACAGCCAAGCACTGCTGGTGTAGTGGTATCATGCAAGATTCCCATTCTTGCGACCCGGGTTCGATTCCCGGGCAGTGCACCTTTTTTCCCCTCATCTCACCCACTTTCTCTTTTTTTCTGCAGCTCCTGCAAGAGTTTCAACGTTACAAGGAACTTGTGAAACGACCGACCATTAGCAAAGAACTAATGCCTGAAAGGTCAGCATTTTTTTCAGCCTCTTACCCTTTAAACTCACTTTATTATAATATCGTGAATAAAGTGTGCATCAGTAAATGATATCAGTTCCTCATTTCTATCTCGTTAGGGAAACTCTTCTTGGGCAGCTAACCAGCTACCTCCGCTCCCTGAGAGACACGTACACTAACCTCTCCTCCTCACACCCTCACATCCCATCGTCACACCCTCACCGAGACCCCGCCCAGCTGGCAGCGGCAGAGAAATTGGCCCCACCCACTGGGAAGAACATGCCTGTAGTCGTGAATAACATCATCTGGACCAGACAACTTGAGGCCAAGGTGAGAGTGAAGGAGAGACAGCCTGTATGTATGGTCTCTATATGTACTAGGTGTCTGAGACTATATCAACTGCTGAGGCTTTGCTGGGAGACCTGAGTGGGTTCCAGTCGTTCTGTAACGAGGGACGTGGTCTGGGGGAGGAGCTTCGGGAGTACCAGAGAGAGCAGTTGGACCAGTGGTCCAGACAGACTCTGGCTGCCATTGACCATCCCTCTGAACCTCTCAGGTTCTCACTTATACACTATACCATACCTTGAGCCTCCATAGACTGAACCTCTCAGGTTCTCACTTATACACTATACCATACCTTGACCTCCATAGACTGAACCTCTCAGGTTCTCACTTATACACTATACCATACCTTGAACCTCCATAGACTGAACCTCTCAGGTTCTCACTTATACACTATACCATACCTTGAACCTCCATAGACTGAACCTCTCAGGTTCTCACTTATACACTATACCATACCTTGAGCCTCCATAGACTGAACCTCTCAGGTTCTCACTTATACACTATACCATACCTTGAACCTCCATAGACTGAACCTCTCAGGTTCTCACTTATACACTATACCATACCTTGAACCTCCATAGACTGAACCTCTCAGGTTCTCACTTATACACTATACCATACCTTGAACCTCCATAGACTGAACCTCTCAGGTTCTCACTTATACACTATACCATACCTTGAACCTCCATAGACTGAACCTCTCAGGTTCTCACTTATACACTATACCATACCTTGAGCCTCCATAGACTGAACCTCTCAGGTTCTCACTTATACACTATACCATACCTTGAGCTCCATAGACTGAACCTCTCTGAAACACTTCCACCTACAATATAGCATAGCGTCCGGCTTTCAAGTTGCATGTACCTCATACACTACCAACTTAAGTGTTCCATTTCAAACAGGTCATGATAGCATGGTTTATGTCATCTCAGTAATAGTCAATCTTACAGAGGGTTGCTGTGTGAGAGTAGTGTCCATCTCTATACCCTTTAGTCTGGAGACCAGTGGCAGACTAATGGAGTTTGACGGGAGAGACGGGAAACTGAGGGTCCACTACAGCGACCGGCTGGTGGCTCTCCTGAGAGAGGTGAGGCAGCTGTCGGCCCTGGGTCTGAGTCTCCCGACAAAGATCATCACCACTGCTCAGACTGCACGCAAGTTCTACCGCCACGGAGTCGTCCTAAAACAGGTTTATACCACTATAGTAAACATATTGGAGAAACTTTGAACCTGGGCTCAGATTTAGTCCCAGATCCTATGGTTCTTCTCATAACCCCAGTAATCAGCACCACCTTCACGTTTGAATGCCTGTTCTTGTCTGTCTATCCCCACCCTCTCCTCCCACCCATCTTGCTGGTGCATTTGTAGGTGGCTCATTTCTACAACACCATAGACCACCAAATGCTCCCCAGTCAACAGCCTATGATGCTGGACACTGCTCTGGCATTCGAGCGCCTCATCAAGAACCCCAAGGCCGGCAATGCCAGGACTAAACCCAGAGGGAAGGAGGGAGAGGGAGGAGTCCAGATCACGTGGGACAGCGTGGAGCAACTGGAGGAGTACACCGGGAGGTTGAGGGCTGCGGCGGAGAAACTTACCTCGGAGAACAGGCGGCTGCGGAGGTGTCACGCTGACCTGGTGGCCAGAGTTGGAGCTGTGATGAGTGTCGATCTACTGAGACAGCCTCAGAGGTGGAAAGATCTACTGATGGACATCCGACACACGATGGCCAGCCTCATCCAGGTCTGCAGGGAGAGAGGGAGAGTGTGTTTAGTTCAGAAACAGTGGAATGCCTTGCGTTCTTGCGCATAAAACCCTGTGTTAGTGTATTTGTGTTCAAGTTGTTAAGCAAGGCAGTGGAAGTTCAACTGGCATTCAGAACTGGTTTCATTGCAGGAGGGGTTCAACGCTGGTCACATGAGGTCGTGGAGACTTCACTGGGACCACCAGCTCTACAAGGCCCTAGAGCACCAGTACCAGCTGGGACTGGAGGCCCTCAGCGAGCACCTCCCTGAGATCAAGGTCGAGATGATCTTCAGGTCAGTCAACACACACCAACCTTCCTCTGCATGCAAGGGTTTGAAATCTGGTGTGTATTAAGGAGGGAGAGGAGAGAGGAGTTTTTTAACACACCAAAAATGGATAGATTTAAGTATAAATTTTATATAAAGTATTTTTTAACGTGGATGTAGGCACCAGAGGTTGCAGTTCCGACCAAGTCTGGAGGAGATCAGAGCCAAGTACTTCAGAGAGCTTCGCAAGTGAGACACTGTTGCCTATAGTAGTTGTAGGATCAATACAAACATGGGGATTTAACCCCAGACATCTTCCAAGTGTTCTTACAACTCAGCCACTTGCAGAAGATTTGCTGTTTTGCATAGCTCTCACTGTCCACATTCTTCTCCTGGTGTCTCTCTTCCCTCACAGGTTCATATCAATTCCCCTGCACTTCAGAGGAGTGACTGAGGCAGCCTCTCCAGCCCAGACCATATTCCCACGAATGGTACTCCGAAACTCCTCAGGCCTCTCCACTGTCTACCACAAGGTTGGTAAGCACAATACGTAGTATCTAGATGCCAATTGCTACATGTTTTCAGTATGCTCCAACAGTTGTTGGTGTTTCAATTTGAGGATCCATTTCTACCTAATGCATCCACAGATGTGTTCAAAGGCACAATCCATTTGGCATCAGCTAACTAGCACTATTATATACCTTTATCCTTCATTTATTTCCTATCACTTTCCCCCTGTAGGCAGAGCAGTTGTTCCATCGACTGGGGCAGGCCAGGGAGATGTTCAGAGAGTGGGTGACGTTGGGTTGTGTGGATATCCCAGCCCTGGTAGAGGCCCACTGCTCCACTGTGGCTGACTGGGAGATGAACATCAGGGCTCTCAAGACCAAGGGCAGAGAGGCCGAGAAACTGCCCAAGTGAGTGTTTACAGAGGAGCTTGTTTCTTAGTCCTGTGGACTCTTTCTTTATGCTTTGTCTCCGTTTCTTTTTGTGTGACTCTGTCTCTCTTTCTCTCTGTGTGTCTGCTTGTTTGTTTTGTCTCTCTGCCATTTATTTTCCTGTCTCTCTGTTTTCTTCAGTACCATTCGTATAGACTGCATCACGGTGTCCTCTCTGCCGGTGAAGTCATCCATTGATGACCAGATCCAGCAACTGTTTGATGCTCTTCTCAACTCACTTCGCCACTCCATCTCCCAGCACCTCCAGGTCAGAGAGAACACATACCTACACCTCTCTGTTCCAACCTCTCACTGCTTGTTTTCTCATGTGCTGCAGGCAATTGATGTGTTCCTGGGTGAAGCGAGGGACTCTCTGTCAATCAGACCTCAAACAGTGGAGGAGATTGGACAAGTCAACATCAGACATGCCGAACTGGCCAAAAAGAAGCCTGAGGTGTGTTTTATTCTTCAACTGTTTCCTACTGCACAGTATGGTTCCCGATTGTTCTTGTATAGGCTGAATTATTTTTTATGCAGATAGAGCCCCAGTTTGCAGTGGCCGAGCAGAAGAACAAGCTGCTCCGTTCGGTGGCCGGAGGTGGCATGGACGAGCTGCCAGAGCTAAGGACTCAGTGGGACAAGTTTGAGATCATGATGGAGAGTCACCAGATGATGATCAGGGATCAGGTATACCATCAACTCCCTCTCTCTTCCTGATTCTTTGTCTTTCTCTTCTCTTCTTCCACATTTTGTCTCGTCTTCCCTGACCCACCTATCTATCCCCCCCTCTCTATTCCCACTTTCCGATCCCTCAACCAGATGCAAGTGATGTGTTCTCGAGTGGAGGGGGAGGTGCACACCTTTGTTCAGGAGGTGGAGAAGTTCTCGGCCCGCTGGGAACAGCTGAAGCCCAAGGCAGACTTCCTGGATGGCGACAGAGCAACATACACTTCTGCTCTAGCCTCACTCAAAGACAGGCGGAATGAATTTGACGAACTACTTAAAACTGCCGACAAACTAAAGTTAGTCAACACAGCTGTGATCCCAATATCCACTTACCAGGATTGCATCACATGGTCTAATGCCTTCGTGTATCTGATTTTACGTTCGCCAGCTGAGCACATTCACGAAACATTTCATGATTTGCAAAGGTTTTTAGTTATGTTTCTCTTGATTCAGACTTGAGTGTGAGCATTTCAGTCTGCCAGCCCCCGACCTGTCACTGCTGGAGGCAGTAGAGACAGACATGTCGGAGCAGGAGGAGACGTGGGCTCTGTACGAGGAGTTCTCCTCGGCTCTGGACGGTCTCTGTGGGGAGGACTGGATCTCCTTCAGGTGAGATCTGTCGGATGGCATAGCATTATGATGAGGAGATGATGCATTGGTCTCTTCAATCCTGTTGTATTGGTTGGTCTTGTTTCACATCATCTCAAGAGGTTGGCTACTGTCATCATGGTTGGTTTAAAATCAGAATGAGGGGATGACGGAAGAGTTGCGTTGCATACTGATAAAGAAATCTGTCTCGGGGCTAAATTAGACGAAGTGTCTGTGGTCATGTTGCTAGAATACGTTTGGGAGTGTATTGCCATATTCATACATATGCACTGGTAAAAAATCTGTCTCTTGCCTCTTTCCGTGGTTTTGGTGCCAATTGTTTCTGATCTGTGGCATGCTAATTTGGCACACGAGAGTCAATCGTGGCAATGCCGAATACAATATATACACATGTATTGGTGTCGTTCACTGCTAGCTGTGCTCGTGTTGTACTGTACGTGGCATTTTGTTGGGTGGTCAAGGTTTATTGCATAAATCAAAATGGTTTAAAATGATGCAATACAACATGAAAAGTGAAAGAGCCAGACAGAGTTATGCACCATGAATGATGATGGAAAAAGAGAAAGGAGGCGGGGCTATGTCATCGTTTTGCGAGATTATAGCTATAGTCCATGGGGGAGCCGGGCTACTTGCTGCTGGTGTACTTCGTGACGGCTTTGGTACCTTCACTGACGGCGTGTTTGCTCAACTCTCCGGGCAAGTGGAGGCGAACGGCCGTCTGGATCTCGCGGCTGGTGATCGTGTGTTTCTTGTTGTAGTGGGCCAGTCGGGAAGCCTCCGTGGCGATCCGCTCGAAGATGTCGTTGACGAACGAGTTCATGATGCTCATGGCCTTGCTGGAGATGCCAGTGTCGGGGTGGACCTGTTTCAGGACCTTGTAGATGTAGATGGAGTAGCTCTCTTTACGTCCTCTCCTCTTGCTCTTCGTGCCGTCTGCCTTGAGTCTGCCCGGCCCCAGACCCGCCGGCTTCTTCTCTCCTTTCTTCGTCGCTACTTTCCCAGGCATGGCGGCTGACGATCGTTCGTTTGAGTTTCTTCTAGGGCCAGCGAAGTCGGGTTGGCCTTTATATCGTCAGGTCAGGATCACTTTGGGAGGATCATTTGGCAAGTAGCCAATCACATTGCAGGACTGTATACGGTTACGTCACGGCGTACAGCTGATGCGGTTTAGAGTGACTGGATTCTGATTGGTCGGAGGCGTTTTGATCCCCTAGTAAGTGATCCTCGGCTCCTCTTCAAGTCCTGCGCCATCATCGCTGCTCGTACACCGACTACTCTCTTGTAGACTCCTATCATCGCTGCTGAACCACCATGTCTGGACGTGGCAAAGGAGGCAAAGCTCGCGCCAAAGCCAAAAGCCGCTCGGCCCGCGCGGGTCTCCAGTTTCCAGTCGGCAGAGTCCACCGTCTCCTCCGCCAGGGCAACTACGCCGAGCGAGTGGGAGCAGGAGCGCCCGTCTACCTGGCAGCCGTCATGGAGTACCTGGCTGCTGAGATCCTCGAGCTGGCCGGCAACGCCGCCCGCGACAACAAGAAACAGAGGATCAACCCGCGCCACCTACAGCTCGCCATCCGCAACGACGAGGAACTGAACAAACTGCTGCAGGGAGTGACCATCGCCCAGGGAGGTGTCCTGCCCAACATACAGGCCGTCCTTCTCCCCAAGAAGAGCGGAGGGATGAGCAAACAGGCATCTTCCCAGAGCCAAGAGTACTAGTCATATACCTACCACCACCCCCAGAACAGTCTGACAGTCATTATCATCATCCCTCCACTGCCTCCTGTCTACCCCACATTCCGTTCACTTCTAGATTTCTCTCTTTGTTTTGCTCTCTGAGACTTGTATATTTTACCCCATGAAGAATTTTATCACCAACTATTCAAAACTTTGCACCGTGCCCTTGTGTTTTTTCATTGAGCATGTTGAAATCATGTGATGCTGTCCTCACGTGGTCTGCTGAAAGGAGACCTACAAACAAGTCCATTGTACTCTGCCAACCATACACATAACAGGAAACATTTAGCTAGACACTATGTGCCACTTTGGTTACAGTTGTACATTCACACAACCACAACAATTATCATGTGGTGTTTCTCTAAAGCACATGTCGTATCTCACATGCTGGTAGTTATAAAATGCCGGAATCATTGGGGAGTATGATGACACACATAGGAAAACACTTGTTTCCAAGGAAGAAAAAGCTGCGAAACAAACTAACTACACTCTTGTATAATGTAGGCTTGCAAATCTGCAATGTAGAACTGCACATACTTTGCATAGCTCTCGAGTAATGTGAACACTCTCTTTGTCAGGGGTCGGTCGTACCAGTTTGAAGAGTTCCTGATGACCTGGGGAGAGAAGCTGAGGGCAGGGGGCAAGATGACGACTGTCACTGCCGGCCTCCAGCGAGACGTCGACAAATACCAGGTCCCGAATCACTGGACCATTACCTCTTGCTTCCCCTGACACCCTCTCCCCTGCACAAACAGGCCATGCTGCCTCTGTTGAAGTACGTGAAGGGAGAGGTTCTCTCTCAGGAGCACTGGCACGAGATGTTCCTCATGTTGGGATTCCCGAGAGGAACGACACTGGAGAAACTATCGTTTGGAGACGTTCTCTCACACGCGGAGGAGATTGTGGCAAATGCCGACAAACTGAAGGAGCTATACAGGTAAGGATTAACAAACCTTACATACTGAGAGAAAATGATTCTCTCTCTGTCTCCAGTCGAGCACAGGGAGAGGTGTCGATTCGAGAGGCTCTGAGGGAGCTGGATATATGGGGAGCAAGCTGCACTTTCTCCCTGACTCCATACACAGACTCAGGCTCCAAGGAAATGAACATCATCAGAGATTGGAAGGAATTGGTGAACCAGGTAAACCAGCAAGCCAATACTACTGCAGCTTCAAGACAACACATTCAAACATGAATATGAGAGATATTAAACTTTTGCGTGTGTACTCTTGAAGTCAAAGTAAAGCTGTGTGTGTTAAAAAATAGTCAGTCCTGCTTCACTCTACCTACTATTAGATATACTTTCCCCATATGATGACCACAGGTGGGAGACCACCAGTGTCTGCTCCAGTCACTCAAGGACTCTCCCTACTTCTCTGGGTTTGCTGACAAGGCAGCTCTGTGGGAGGGGAGGCTGGCAGAGCTGGACCACCACCTCACGCACCTCAACCAGATCCAGAGAAGATGGGTCTACCTCGAGCCAATCTTTGGACACGGAGCTCTGCCCAGGGAGCAGGCCAGGTTCAAGAGAGTTGACGCCGACTTCAGGTGACCCAGTCACTTTCTCTTACACTACTCCTTCATTGTCATCATCATCATCTTTTCTTTTTACTTCTCTTTCTTTTTCTCTTCTTCTCTCTCCTTAAATGTTTCTTCGTCTTCTTTCACTTTATTCTTGAGTCTATTTCACTTTGTTCTGTTTGACCCAGGGCAATAATGGGTGATATAGACAAGGACAGTCGAGTCCTGTCTCTGGGCAGTAGACCTGGTCTCAGGCAGACACTGGTGACACTGCTGGACCAACTGAGCCGTTGCCAGAAGGCTCTCAATGAGTTCCTCGAGGTATATACAACTTATTAACTCTTCTACTAAACCAACCACCTCGTGTCTGTCTGTCTCACAGGAGAAGAGAGCTGTCTTTCCGAGATTCTATTTCCTGGGAGACGACGATCTACTGGAGATACTGGGTCAGGCCACCAAACCTCGAGTCATCCAGGTATACTCCTCACTTATCCAACACCATTTTGAAGATAATACCGTGGTATGGGTATAGTAGTGTGATGGTTGACAACTGTGGTGCTATGGGGTCATGCAGGCACACCTGAAGAAGCTGTTTGCAGGGATCCACAGTGTGAGGTTTGGGGAGGAGGAGACGGAGATTGTGGCCATGAGGTCTCTGGAGGGAGAAGAGGTCCCTCTCTCTGCAACTGTACCCATCACTCCCGATGTTGAGGTACCCTTTTTGGATTGTTGACTTGGCCATTTTTATTGAAATGAGGTGAAAAGGTCTAAATAGAGACTAGATAGACAAAAGAAGACTAGATAGGTATAAAGCGAGAAAATGCAAGATAGAGATCTTCTCCCATTTATTTCCTCTACCTCTTCCCTCACAAGGTTTGGCTGAGTGATCTAGCGCAACAGATGCAGTCCACACTCACACAACTGCTGGTGGAGTGTGTGAATGAGGGACGGGGGGAGGGAGGAGGGGGAATAATCGACCCCCGGCGCTACCCACAGCAGATCCTGTGTCTGGCTGAGCAGGTGCTCTTCACGGAGAGGTGTGAGGCAGCGATTGCTGAGGGGAGGCTGGCTGAGTTACTAATTGAGCTGGAGACCCAATTGGACAGCTACACCAACGCCGATATCAGTGTGAGCCTTCCTTCTAGGAGAACTGTCTGAGTTAGAAAATAAGGACAAACACATTGATACGTACATGAGACAGATGCTTCATAATGTGCTCCTATTGGAGAATGGAACAGCTATTATGTACAGGGTTGTTGATAACGGAGTAGGATGTTAAAGATTACACCACTTGGGTTGCACCGTTGGTAGCTACTACTTGTGATGGATTCTCTCCACACAGTCTGATTCAACCCAACATGTGCTGGAGCTGAAACTGAAAGCTCTGATACTGGACACCATCCACAACATCGACATCACTCGTCTGCTGATTGGGGCGGGGCCTGATCTCAGAGACCACACCCACTGGCTCTGGCAGAAACAGCTCAGAAACTACCTCAAAGATGGTCAGTCCAAGATTTATAATTTTTCATGCATGTGATATGTTAATGGAGAAATCATCCATGTCTTAGGCTTTTCTTTCCTCCTGCGTAGTATGCTAGTGAAATTGCTAGGGAATAAAAAACATTATTACTGCATTTTGTTTGCTGTTGTGTGTTATTGTACCTGTTTGCACAGGCCGTGCTGTGCTGCGTATGGTAGACGCAGAGTTTGACTACACGTATGAGTACCAGGGAAATGCCGGCAAACTGGTCCACACTCCACTCACTGACAAATGCTACCTCACTCTCACACAAGGTCAGCTCAACACTCACCGCCAAGGCTCTCACTTGTTCACCTCCTCTCTTTCTCTAACGCAGCCATGCACATGGGTCTGGGGGGT